CCTATCCGCCAAGGCAGCGCAGAGTAATTTTTGCAACCCCTTTATATGTCTTTTATTAGTAAGAGAGATAAAGAGAAAGGGAGCGAAAGTGAGAAAGAGAGAATATAATGTAATTGGTAATGCTAATACAATAGATATTAAATTCATGTTGTATTGTATTATCTCTTTAATATTAAGTTCATATTTCATAATCTGCTTAATATTAGTGATATTTTAAGTCAATTTATTTAATACTGAATGTTTGATTTTACGTTAACTGTGGACACCTTGGCTTTTATTTAGGATTCCTGATCAGTTTTATAGACACGTGTATGTTACTGTTGTGAAATAATCAATTTACTAACAAAGTTAGAGGAAATAATACAAATTTTTTTTTGTCTTGCTTAGAATATGTTTTAGAGAGTGACGCGACGACAGCAACCTCAGCAACTGAGTTTATTGGCATGTCACGTGTATTTTGGCGGTGCTTTCATACACATAATATTTAACATACATATTGTACATACATATATGCTGACTGTGTGTTCCACATAAACGATGTGTGAGTGTGTGCGCTTTTGTTTAGAATCACTTTTATTTAGAATTTATTGTACAATCTCACCACGTGCGTCAAATTCAATAAATTGTGTTACACATAAACGCTCACTACACCAGCTAACAGCAGCCCCACAAGGCTATACATACATACATATGCAAAAATGCGGCAGTGACTGGGTTGTGTGTTCGATTAGAAATTAGAGGCGCGAAAAAGCAAGTGCCGGCAAATAAAATGTGCAAATTTTATAGAGTTGAGCGTTTTTGTACACACTTGCATACATATGTACATACATATCATGCTAAATATTTCCGCGTAAAAACCCATATACATATTTATATATATGTATATTAATACATACATATGTGTGGTATGTGTGTTCATCATATATACATTTTTTCTAATCGCAATCTCTACTCAAAACGCGGTCGGCCCCAACACAATAACAAAACACCGCCGGTAAGCCAACATATCAAACACTCGAGCATAGGCACTAGCGTTTGAGTGTTTGTGTGTTGGTGCACTTGTGTTCATTCATTCATTCTGAATTCATAGCGTCGGATTTGAATATTTCTAAACCTATTTTTTCGTATCAACAATTTCGCTGTCGGCTTTTTGTATTACCTTAGTACTTTTTGCGAATCTGCGCAAATATTCGCGACAGTTTGTGTTTGCATTTATTTGTTGATTCTCTTTGCTATGTGTTTTTATGGTAGATTTAGCGTTTTGATCTTCTTTTGACTTAGTTTTGTTTAGAAATATGTCAGCTGGTAGTACAGGTACTTTTTTTTGCTTTTGCTTGTCGAATATTCATAAATATGTATGTTCTCATGTATTTTTTTAACGTCTAGCGTAACACTGACCTTGACAACTGAATTTAGAAATGGTAAAAAGGCAAAACAATTTAGTTATGGGCTAGTTTACATATCCATCAATGAATATTTTTTATTAAACGTACATACTTATTTTGCGCTCAAAAAAAAGCAGTTGGAACAAGTAAGAAAGTTCTATGTTTGAATGTAACCGAACATTTTATACTCTCGCAACTTGCAAGGATCAAAGCCCGGGAAATTACTTCAGGTGTTGGCAAAATTTTATATTAAAGGAAGTATTGATCCGATTCAACCTATTTTTGACACATAGACATACTATTATCGAGAGTTTTATTTATTTATTTTATTATATGAAGTCCAATTATATATCTTACACATTAACCGATATTTTCAGTAAAAAGTCAATTATAGGCACTGGGGTCCACATATTCAGTACCTAGAGGCTTGAACAGTTTTGATTCGATTTACACAATTTTTGGTCACAAGGTGGCATACTTTAAACGCGTTATTCACGCAAAGTTTTACCCCGATACAGAAATTGTTGCTTGATTTGCATAGTGGAAAGTGAAAGAATCAGATGGAATTTAAAATGGTATGAGAGCGTGGTTGTAATCTGATTTCGCCCATTTTCGCACTATGACATAGAAACATAAAAAGAACGTTATGCACCGAATTTGGTTGAAATCGGTTGAGCAGATCTCAAGATATGGGTTTTCACCTAAAAGTGGGCGCTGCCACGTCCACTGTGTAATTTTGAACGCGTTTCCTATAAAGTCATCTCATACCATCCCAGAGATAAAATTTAATGTCTCTGACGTGTTTAGTGCTTGATTTATCGCGCTTTTAGTAGTTTTTAACACGAGCGTTATATGGGGATTGGGCGGAGTTGCCACCTGGCTTCACCCATTTTCACACTGTCGATAGAGGTTGTAAAAACGCTTGCTCTCAGAGATTTTTTTTATTATAGCTTGAACGGTTTAGGAGATATGCACATTAAACCTATTAGGGGCGGGACCACGCCCACTACAAAAAAGAATATAAACTGCAAATGCTCCTATATAACGTGATCATGTGTACCAAATAACAGTCCTGTATCTTATTGTGGAACTTAGTTATGCCAATTTATTTGTTTTTGATGAATGGCGTTTTGTGGGCGTGGGAGTGGTCCGATTACGCCCATATGGTATACCAAACGTCCTACGGTGCTAAGTTTATATTCTCAAGTTTTACTCAAGTTACAGTTTGCACAGACGGACGGACAGACAGTCACCCGGATTTAAACTCGTCTCTTCATCCTGGTCATTCTCCAGGATATGTGATGGGTATTATAGTTTCGGTACGACCAAAACAAACGTTTGTTTTTTGTTTTTCTGTCAAATTCAATTCTATTATTCAACATAGCTGACTAATCGAAGTCAATAAACCGGGTACCATACACCAATGCTTTCGATACCACTTTACAATAGTACATACATTGCTTTAGGCCTCCATCTCGGCGATTACGTCTTCAATGTCGCTAAATGACTTTGCAAAAAGTATTCCCTTGAAGTCTGAGGATAGCATAAAGTCGCTAGTCCAATAGCAACGCGTGTCGGTTGACCCGCATTGAACAGTTTTCAAGTCTCCTTGGCTATGAGTCAAATAAACTTTTATATTATAAATAAACGTAGACTTTTATTATACCAGACGTACCGTATTCTATTCTTGATTAAAATAAATTTTCGTTAAGGTTTTCTTGGAGAAGTCCACAATTACCTCATGAATTATACCGAATATTGAGATCATTGATAATCCGTTAAGTACAAGTATATTGTGTTCGCCTCTAAAGAGGTCTACCATGATGGTGAGGCGTTCTTTGGTTCTGCAAGATATTCAGCGTAGGGAAATGAATGAGATTGACCTGGAATAATTTGTCGATTATTTCGATCGTCATTTTGAAGTTAAATTTTGGATGTTTATAAAAGATTTCCGGTAGGGTGACGGAGACAATTACTCTGACCTCGAGATAAAATATATTTGTAATTACAGTTTCTGCAAAATTGAATTCTTAATTGAAACTCGCGAATTAAGGCCCGATTCATTAAAATAACAAATAAAACAGTGTAAAAAGGTAATAAGAAAGCCAGAGATGGAAGGCCGTCTCATCGAGTACCGCCCAATTGGAGGTGGGCTTGACTACCACCACAACTCGCCGCTAATTGGCGAAATACCACCAGCTGGTGGAGACTATACACATGCCGTCCATCGCTCCATTGATCAATTACGCAACAGTTTGAACGAGCGCGTCGCGCTCGGACCGTTAAGCGTATTTTCGAACTCATCCGCCGATTTGCGTTCATCGGTATTGTCTTACAGTCAGCAGCAGCAACAGCAGCAACAACAACAGCATCATCCGCAGGCCTCGCAACATGGACAGCCACATGCCACGCAGCAGCAGCAACAACAACTGCCTCCCCAATACGCGCAGCTTTCGGCTGCTAGTGCCAGCAACGCCAGCGGTAGCGATTTGCTTGCGCAACAGCAACAGAAAGTTAGTACCACCACGGGCGTTGCGCCATCAACCGCTGTGGCGGTTGCCAGCGGCAACAATAACACTAATAATGCCGTTGGTAGCGGGGGTTCGCTTGCTGTTAAGCTCACCGTCGACACAAATGCGATCGTAAGCTCGACGGTACCGAATGGCGCAACAGCAGGCAATAACGGTGGCAGTAGTGGAGGCGGTACCGTCTCTGCAGGCTCCGGCAATGGCAGCGGTGGAGGTGGAGGTGGTGGCGGCGGTCGTGGTCGTAAAGCGCGGATTTATCCGAATCCTAATCAACACATTATTGTGACCAGCAACAGTGTGGACCATCATCACGCTGCAGCAGGTCGCCATCATCATATTGCCAGCGATGGTGTTGGGGGTGGCAGTGTTGGGTCTACAACCAGCTCACCGCGACATATGGATGTCAAAGATGCGAAGGTACTTAAGATTACGATAATCCTTGTTGTTCTCCTAATCTTAACATTTTTCAGTTGAATAGTTGAATTTTATAAAACTAATATGTTCACATTCGGTACAGCCTACAGCAGCAAAATATAAGAACAAATTTTCAAATACAAGTATATACATTTTTTTAATATATTCGTCGTTCGATCAAACTACTACAAATTGTTAAAAATTATAAAAGTAAGCCCTACTACAATATTTTTTTCTGTATATGCCTATATCTTATACCGAGCACTAAAACAGAAAGACCGAGAGTGCTGGATCTCACAGTGAGAATTGGTAAGTCGCCAAAACTAAGCCTTCAAAATGAGGTGTTGTCCACTGTCGATATTCAATAACTTAAGCACGTTCTTTTCAAATTAAAGCACCTTGGGTTTCACTTCCTTAGCCAATTAGTAGAACTATCAGGTACCAAAATAAATCGACAAATCGCCAAAGCAGAGATGTGGTGGGCACAAGGTGTTTCGTAGATACATTAAGGTTTACTATGTCTGTGATAATGTGTTCAACTGGATTCTAAATTAGAAAGCCGATAAAAAATTATATTAGTTACGAGATTTAGTAAACATATCTAGATAAATTTTTAATTTTCCCTAACAATTCGCAACTAATACGTTTACTTTCAATCTTTTTCTGTTCTTAGATTTTCAGCTCGAAAGCGGACTTGCAGCTGCACACACAAATTCACATGCGCGAGGCCAAACCGTACAAGTGTACACAGTGCTCCAAAGCGTTCGCAAACTCGTCCTACCTGTCACAACACACACGCATCCACCTAGGAATCAAGCCGTACCGCTGCGAGATTTGCCAGCGCAAATTCACCCAACTATCCCATCTGCAGCAACACATCCGCACCCACACTGGCGACAAGCCATATAAGTGTCGACACCCCGGCTGCCAGAAAGCTTTTTCGCAACTTTCCAATCTGCAGTCGCACTCGCGTTGTCACCAAACGGACAAACCATTCAAATGTAATTCCTGCTACAAGTGTTTCTCGGATGAGCCCTCCTTACTCGATCATATACCCAAGCACAAGGAGTCTAAGCACCTGAAGACACACATTTGCCAGTATTGCGGCAAATCGTACACACAAGAGACATATCTAACGAAGCATATGCAGAAGCATGCAGAACGCACGGACAAGCGACCACCGATTGCCGCTTTGACCGCGAGTGGTAATGTCACCGGCGCTGGCGCGATTTTAGGTGGTAGTGCCAACAGCGCGCCTGGTAGCAATGTGAACGGGGGTAATATGGCAAGTAGCGTTGCGGGCGGCACTAGTGGTGGTGGTGGTGTTGGCGGTGTGGGTGTGAGTAGTTTGCCAAATTCGAATACACATAATCGGCAGACGCTCGGCTTGCCGCCGGTGTCGATAGCACCCACCGAGCATTCATATTGGCCTAAGGTCAGTCCAGATTCCGCCGCTAATATGACAGATGTCATGCACCAACACCAACAGCAACAGCAACAACACCAACAGCAGCAGCATCACCATCATCAACAACAGCAGCAACATGGCGGCCAGCAACACCATCATCAGCAGCAACAACAACAGGCACAGCAACAGCCGCCGCAACAGCAACAGCACATGGACTTTTCGAATGTGAATTCAAGTGGTGGAAGTAGCGCTGGTGGCGGGGGCGGAGCCGGTGGATCTGGTGGGCCACCAAACGGACATGGCGAACTGCAAACGCATCACAGAATGAGTGACAATGGTCGGGACGAAATCGGTGAGTACGTTGTTATCGACCTGAAATTGATTAAGTCATTTTAGTAACGTAGATAGTACCAGAAAACGTCTTCTACGTATACTCATATGTTACCTGAAAAAATCAGTTTTATGGGAAAATCAATAATAAAAAAGTACATTTTGTATTCCGAATGGGTGAGACCTAGAGGTCTGGGCTGCCGGTTATATGTTAACCTTTTTTGACATTTCTCATCGAATAATTCTTCGGTCGTATTCCAGAAACGCTTCCTGCCCGATGAAAAATATACTTATATTTCTTACTTATGCGGCAGCAAAGTATTTCATAGATGATGTTCTACTGAAAACATATGTGGGTTCGTAGCAATCCTATGGCTTTCTTGCATATAATCAAGATATTTCATGGAACATTTTGGGCGTTAGTGAATGAACTGAAGCTTCAAAGCTTCTCTTCTCAACTCATGCCGATCGAAAGCAAATCCTTGGTGTAATTTTTTAACGTCTTCTTTTAATTAAGGGCATGCCATTTTATATTCGCACTTTTTATTGACCTTATAATCAGCTGATGAGTTTGTTTTTATAGCTGAACATTTTCATATTCAGGTTCAGGTTGTAAGTACTATATATTGTACTACAATAAATACCATACCCTGTATGGCGTACATGACGAACTTTCATTAATAATATTTAAGTAGTATTAGATGTGGAATGTAATGAAATATACCACAATATTATTTCCTTACTCCTAAAATCCTGTCATCAAAGAGTAAGCGCCTGAAGCCGTTTAAATACTGCCACACCTAATACTTCGATGTATTTTCTGATGTGATTTAATCTTTTCCTCGATCATATTCTTAAATGCTTACACATTTCCTTTTCAGTGTCTACACCATCCACTGTTGGACCGTACGATGCGGCGAGTATCACGAAGACCACAAGCAATTCTGCGTTCACCCCGATCAATTCAATGCCGCCACACTTGAATACACTTAGCCACCATCCCATGGCGCAGCGTCCATATCTATATGATGCTATCAGCTTCCAGAACAAAAATGTCAATCAAAATAATTCCAATTCATTTCCAAACCAACTGATTTCGCTACACCAAATTAGAAACTATGCGCACCAACCGGCCGGTCTTATGGCGGGCGAACATTTACTCGGTGTTAGTGTGGGACCCGGTAAAGATAAAGGATAGCTATATTTTTAAGTGCGAAAGCACGAACGACTTGGGGGCGATTACTTAGATGTACTTGATGAATATGTAAACTAAGGGCTGCTTTATTTGGTACGAGCATTTTGGTGATGTATTGAAACATGATTATTTTTAAACTAAAATTCCAACCCTCCAATTAAGAAAACCGTCATGTAAAAGTAAAAAATTGTTAAAAAACGTAATGAAAGAAAAGATAATATATACGTCTAGATCAGAAAAGTGATATAGTTAAACGGACTTACAAAAACTGACGAGTGACAGAAAACGTCTCTTTCGATTGCATAACAAAAGATTCTTAAAACAATACCATATATAATATAATATATGGTTTCTACGGTTAGCATTATTTTTTATAATTTAATATAGGTATCCACATATATAGTTTGCTCTCATGATAAAGTATGTTTTTAAACTTTAATTTCCGTTTATAATATTTTTTGAAAGTACATAAACGGGTACAGCCGGTTAAAAACAGAAACATACGAGGCAAAAGTTTATATTTTACATGCCACTATAAAAAAGAATATACACATTTGGATCTGTCACTTATCAATACTCACACAACTTACGAACTGCCTTAATGCTATTATAACTATAACATTAAAGGTCTATTGCAGAATAGATACCGTGTACCACTTCTGAGAATCGAGAAATTAATTAAAAATCTGGAGCTGCCTAAAAAGGGTTGGAGAACCCAAAACTTCTCTCTTGATAAATAAAATTAAGCTACATCGGATGAATGAAAAGCAGTAGATGATGGCATGTGATTCACTATAAGTAATTCTTAATTCACTTAACCCTACTTCTACCTGATCCAATGTATTGGGCAGTTGCTTTCCGAAAAAGGCGACCTCACTGTGCTTTTTAACAAATAAAAACAAAAAAAAATGTTAATTTCGGTTGCACCGAACAATTTCTTCTATGATTACATTGTTGCTTTAGGAAATAACTCAAATCATCATGCTGACATATATTTTTTATACGGTCTCCGACGTTTCCCTCTGGGTGTTACAAACTTCGTGGCAAATTTAATACACCGTGTTTAGGGTATAATTAGAAACGATATTATTTTAAATGCACTCAACAATAAAACTATTAAAATTTCTCTCATATACTCTAAGTTATTCATCGCTAGCTGTAACTATTCTCTCCCAACTAATTTCATCTTGACAAGATAGTATACAAAAATTCCATAAGAGAATGTAGTTAACAACATTTTACCCGTTTACCTACCCAACTTACGTGTACATTCGGTTTGATAATGAGCTTAAATGAGGACCGAAAATCTGCATAACCTAACCTTAAATTCCGAACTGGTTCAAAAGTTTCCATATTTTCTAAAATAATTCCTCAACCAATCGAGACCCAGAAATATTGGGCTGTAAATTGGATGAATAATTCAACCAATGCATTGGTACTTCTGATAACTGGTTATCAGATACAGAGAATTATTGGAATTGTTCCAATAATGTAATAATTAATACAGCCACCAATTTATCGTTAAAAATTGTTTATCAAATTAAGCTACCTATAAGATTTTTATTATATTGACAAAACTTAAGGAACTTGATTTGGTGAATTGTTATTAAAAAAAAGCAATACGATAAATATGAGGGCGGTTCCGACCAGCTGGTTCCAAATGAAAAAATATACTTGTAGATATTTTCCGTAATTATTCTTTTAAATCAAAAATTTGGTGTTTCAATTTACTACAGGCTATTTTTTGTTTTGAATCCTCTTTAACTTAAAATATATAATAATAAATGTTCAGTATAATACGAGTATTTTATTTTTTTGTTTTAAGTCTAAAAAATCGACTATAGAACAAACTAATGAATTTTATTGTTCAAAATGTTTAATTTATTGCTATAAATTTTATAAAATAAATTAATTATTTGTTTTGGTTATCGAGAAAAGCAGTTTAATACGACAGCAAACGTTTGGGACAAAGGTTGCCACTTATTTAAATTTTTCATTCAGTTGAATTGATAACTACAATGGCAGCATTAAACAAAACAAAATCTGGCGCTTCATGGTTTCCACCTACCCAATACCTGAAAAAACTATTTCTTTGCAGAATAGAACGTAAAAAATAGCGCACTATCAACATTGCAACTATGAGAGACATTGCAATTATGGGAATTATTGTGTTAATTAAAATTAAAGGTTAGATTACAAAGATTAATCAACACGGGGTTCTCACTGGTTTACAGAATTTTCCAAATGCGTTAATCAGCAACAGAACAAAGTACCATCCTAATGACCATGCATAGGATATTGTAAACTTTCTTCAACTCGGTAGTTTCGCTTCTGCATAATAAAGAATTATTGTAGCGTAAGTTCTACTGTTTTTCATTTACTTTTCATTATTAAAAATTTTGCATAAAAAGACTGAACAAATGAAATTTAATAAAGGATTGAACAATATTAAGAAAAGTATATTTATGCATGAAAGCCCATACGATGTTTACGGCATTGAAACAACTTAACCTTACAAGCAGCTTCATCTGAAAAGAGATTGGACACCAGTAGATCAGCTATCATAAGCAACGCACTGGTGTTAAACAGTTCCACTGGCGCTCGTAAAAAGTCCAGCAACTAAGTAACTAATCCGATTGATTAATTAACTAATCAATATACTAACTCACTATGATTAATTGAGAATTACACAGACAACAGAGCATAAAATCAACACATTTAAAATAGAAAATTTGTGAATTTAACTTATTTAGAGTAGTTTAAGGAAGAAGCAATAGAGCAGTGAAACCGTTACATGTAATTTTACTGATTTTTATATCTGTGTAAATTGATTTAAGCGCATTTATGTAAAAATGTTTAGTAAATAACATAAAAGGACTAAAATACATACAAATATACATGCAAATGTTTAACTGTAATTTATAGTGTAAGTGTAACTGTAAACAATATATTCGTAAACTACTAACTAACAGGAAACGAAAAAGCCGTCACAGTGAGAAAATAGTGTGCAGTAAATATGAAATGGCGTTGCCATGTGCGTACGAGGATCACTTCAACTAAGTTTTAGAAATAAAATAAGAGTAAAAACAAAACGTTTGAATTAAAAAATGTGTAAAAAGAAGAAGATAGATATGCTGAGAAAATTAGAGTTGATGAAAATAATTAAAGCTAATTACAATAACAAACTAAAGCATCCCTAAATACAACTAAGAAACTTTGATTGTAAATCAGCATTTTTAATATGTATTTATATAAGGAGACTAGGGTTGCATAATTTTGCCTCTAACTGTATTATAAGCATTTTAAGCTAGTACCGTTCGTGAGAAGTATGTATGTATATTTGTATTTCGAAAATGTACAATACTAAAAGTTATGTGTTAAATTATTTTTAATTATTGTAAATGCAAACAAACACTTGCATATACTTAACGCTGGAGTAAAGAAGACACTGAAAAAAGTGTGAATTATTATTTTTGTTTCAGTTAATTCTAAGCACTGCGGATTCACCACTACATATGCATATGTGTATGCATGTATTTACTTGTAAATTTTAGAGCAAGCGCAAACTATGTTAAACGTTAGTAGTTAAAATGTAATGAATTGGAGTAAAGTAATAATCGATTTGATGCAGCACGTACCATTGGGTAGAAATATTTTGGAAAAATATTTAAAATAATAATAGTGCATATTAATAAAAAAAAAAAAAGAAATTGCTTCTTAAAGCTGAAAACTATTGCAAAAAATCTAATTGGCAATAAGTGTTTGTAAGTTATTATATGTAAATGTAATTTTAATTATAATTGTACGTGTAATTATCGAAATAAAGTTAATTAAATTAATGTCCTAAATCATAAAACAAAAAATAAAGAAAATCATAATAAAATAATGGTTTTTTTCATTAAATCTACGCAGAGTAATGTCTTAAGGGTTCTGTTTTCGGGGCTCATTCGCGCTCAAAATATTTCACTTTAACTACTTTTTGTTGACGAACCGTCTTGTTATGTTTCAACCTTAGTCTAGAAAAGGAAGAGCTGAGATGGTTCCACCCCTCCATCTTCCAGATAAAGTCGACCGGTGGCGTGACTAACTGAGCGTAAAAATCTCCTCAGAACTCGCTACAGAGATGTGGGAACCAAAAACTAGAGTTCATTGAGAATGCGGATGCCTTGGAACAAAAGAAGATTTAAGCGATGTACATCGAAATTTGGTTATTTTTCCAGTGCCCATCGTGTACTTTTTACCAAAATTATCGTTCAATGTATGATATATCTCATACATTGGAACTCGAAGAGAATCCTTTGCTGATAATATTATATCTGTGTGTCAAAAATGAATTGAATCTGGTCAATATTTCTCTTAGCCCCCTAATAGAAAGTATTTTGAACGGTTGATATATTGCTGATGGTATGTGAGCTACCTTAATGAAACACAGAAAACGATTTTTCTGTAAAGATAAATTTTTGAAATTAAAGACACCTTAGAAGAGTGTGTAAGGTTCGACTGCGCCCGAACTTAGCCCTTCCATATTTGCTTCTAATAAAATATCGCTGACACTTCGAAGCATTGTATTTAACTTCTATAAGTATTTAATGTTCGGCTGCGCGTGAGCATAACAAATACTTTCTTTTTTCATTTAATTTACCATAGTGTGCAGAAAAGCACATCGCTCTAAAGCGTGTCTATCTAAGTATGTTTGCAGAAAACTTGCGTGAAACTACACTATTAGCAAATATAACAGGTGAGCACTCCTGAAATTTTGTTCACGAAAATATTTGCTCTGCTATTGTTTAAAAGCGCTTACAACATATTACAAGAGCTTTTCAACACTGACGAAATGCTTTTTGGGGAGAATAACAATAAACGGTAAAACAGGTAAGGAAAGTTGTTATTTACTATGCAAAATAACCGAATGGTGACTACAGTCTTTTTGTTATTCGATATCACGAAGTTATATAACTCTTGCCGTACCAAAGTACCTTACCCTAACGATATCGCTCTCACCTGGTTCTAATTGTAAGTTCAATGGGCCAACAAAAAGCTCCCTCATTTATGCGTATAGATATAAATGTATACCGTATGAAACTTTCTTGGTACTCTGAAGAAGTTAGTATTGCAGATGGGTGGTTTAAAACGCTCTTTATTAAACTAATTAAGTTTTAAATTCGCCGCACGAGATTCGAAGAGATTCGAAGATAATTCATTGCGCTCTTAGATACTGAAACTTTAGGTGGTTTTGTTTCTACAGTCCGACAATAAGCAAGTGAAAAAATAAAATAATGTCTAAAGATCGTTCACAATTTGGCGATTTCGCTATATTCTTAGAAAGGTTATTTTAACCAGTTTGCAATTTTCGAAAATGTTACGGCTTCAAAGGTGAAAGGTCAGATACAAATTATTGGCATTTCAGCTTACTAAAATTAGTTTCGCCAAAAATATTAAGTTATGATTTTAGGAAAAACCAAATTGTCGTTCTAGAAAATTAATAATCACATATACATATATGCAGATATACACACTAATGATGTTATCGTAATTAATAATATAGTCAGTTATAAGCGCTAGACAAATTGCAATATTTCATTATTTTCATTGCCGCTTGAAAATTAAAAAAAAAAATTATAAATTCGGAGAACTCGGTCGGAGATCTATAATTTTGTAAGCCAGTAAGGAGAAATGTATATACTTATTATAGGTTTTGTTACCGCTCTTGCACTCCATTAAATCGATAATTGAGGCAATCCCGACTTCAACCATTCAGGCCGCAATAAATAATTTTCTAATTTCATATGCGTGGCTGTGCATGGAGTTCATTTATGGTCCACAAGTTTTAAAAATAAGTAATTATGTGAAATAAATGTAATGCATTGATAAACAAAGTTATTACAGTTTGTTATGTAGCACGATTCGTGTGCCACCCTGCATTATCAACAATTTTAAAATTTTTAATGCAAATATTATATAGAAAAGAAGATCGTTCTCGTCACCTTAACACAACAACGTTAATACACGCACACACAAGCAGAGTAAACAATCTTTATTCAATAGGTTATCGGCTTCCCTACAAAATTGAGAAGATAACAACAACACACACCTACACACGAACATGTAAATTGTACTATAATATACTCATATTATCATCATCACATGTGTTCGCAGTGCAAGCGTTCAAGTTTGACGGTATTTTTTGAGTCAGTGAAGATTAAATTCAACATCATAGATCATCGCAATTTCGGACTTAAGCGATGTGGCTGAAGAATATTGAAAACAAAGCTTGCCTTCGATTGTGAACATACTCAAACTTAAGAGCCGCGTGAAATTTAAATTTAACAAAAATGTTTAAATACTTTAAATATTTATTATGCGCCCAAATTGTACTTTGTCAAATAAATTCTGGTAAGTTATATGTAATTTTAAATCTGCACAACTAAATATACAAATACCTGTATGTATATATGTAATATTTACCACAAGCTTTACTTACATACATATGCATATGTTTGCATTTTATTTCTTTTGGATATGTGCTATAAATGTGTGTACATATGTACTTATATATACCCAAAGCATCAAACCAGTGAGGAATTTTTCCAGTAATTCCGATTTTATATACACATTTGTATGTACTCCTTTTGAACTAGTACGAAACTGGTACATTTCTGATCGAAATCTAATAGCAAAATATAGCAAGTAAGGAATGATTAAGTTCAGGAGTAACCAAACATCTCTCTCTCTCGCAATTTACAAGAAACAACAAAGCTGGGGTTATGGGGCTGTTTACAATCAACTTTGGTATCTTATTAGCTTCTGTATATTATTGGTCGAATACTTCGTATCACAACTACATTTTGAGCAACATAAATGGTTTAAAGCCAAATATTCACTGATTACATTTTTTACTATATCGCGTATATTGTGGATAAGGGAAGATCTGAACTGATCACATTATCTTTTGATATAATTCAAGTTCACTCAATGTTCCTAAAATATCTTACATACTCGTATTGACCGATATATTGGTATAAAGCCAATCGTATGTTTGGTATAAAAGGACTTTTAGGCACAAGGATACACTGGATTTTTAGATAGAGTTTCACACTGAATTTCATTACGATATCTTATTTTATGGTTGCGATATAAGCGGTATAAAATCAACCGGAAGTTCGAAAATATTTATATTAAGTTTATAATTGCTAGGTGAAGTAATAGCCGATTTTAACCATTTTTAACATCAGGACACTTTAGTATCAGGAACAGATATTATCTAAGCTTTATTGTTATAGCTTAGAGATTGACCACGATTTCGACCATTTTTGCACTGTTAGATGGGAATGAGATGAGATATAGGTTTTCACCGAAGGTAGGCGGTGCCACGCCCATTTTTCAGTTTTTATACTGGCATCTATGATATATAAGTATATACCACATACTATATATGAACATCGAATTCATGTAAAATTATTTTTAAGTCTTCCTGCATCATCTTCGTGATTCCAGCCAATACTGTCATATATTTTTTAAACTGTTTTCTTTATTTAAACAAGACTTACAATAAAATTAATTTATGTTTTACAATGAGAGTATAATTTTTTACGAAGCGTTTTATACTTTTCTGAGAAATCACATGTCATTAAGTTAAAACTCGACTTTCTATCTGCTTCTCTCCCTCTCTCTCTCTCTCGCATTGTGATCACATATTTACCAGCGTACATCTTGAAAGAAGAGCGAAGATAAAGTGACAATGTGCACAAGCAGCGAAAGCTTTGAGTGAACCATGTGGTGTAAACCCTAATAGAAGTTCTGCTCATGTCAAAATATCTTACAAAACCATCAGAAGCGCCAAGAAGTGTCATGTTTTAATGTTTCTTTCAACTTTTTTTCCCATTAAATCCAACAGCGTTTCTGTCAAATGCTGACTGGCTATGTGAGGATAAAGCGAATACGAGCATACCAGCGTCCAAAGTATGTGACGGTTTCGTCCATTGCAGTAATGGACGAGATGAGAATTCAAGGATATGTTTGACGAAGCTTTGTAATGAGCAGCAATATCGCTGTGCTTACGGAGCTTGTATAAGTGCCGAACTCAAGTGTAATAAGCATATTGATTGCTTCGATCGGTCTGATGAGACGGATTTTCTCTGTGATCCTATTGAAGAGGTATTCGCAAAGATTCAAAGAACGTGGTGAGTGAGCTAATATTGTATGTACATATATAAGTGTGGACACCTAAGCTAACAATTGATTAAAACAATTATTTGTACCTTATTTACAGTTCAGAGGAAGAGTTCCAATGCGACACGGGCGAGTGTATTGATGAATTGGACATGTGTAACGGTTCCGCAGATTGCCAAGACGCATCAGATGAAACTGTAAATACATGCGCTCATTTTGATTGTTCAGATGCTTCATTTCGTTGTGCCTATGGCGCATGCATTAGTTTAGAAAACGTCGCTAATCAAGTTTGGGACTGCGTCGATGGATCCGATGAACCAGCCGTGGTTTTGGTAATCACTGATAGCGTAAAAGAGGTGGAGAAAGTGAAATATGAAGCAAAACCTGATACAATGTACTGTAATATACCGTATGATAAGCCTAACTTGCTAATTAGTTTAAATAAAACCGGAAAAATGGATACGAATTTGACGTCCTTCAATAAGGTATTGCAAAATGATACATTGCATTTCGAATGCTTACCTGGCTTTGTATTGGTTGGAGTCAGTGATTTGAAATGTGTGGATAACGGATGGTATCGCCAGTGGCCGAATTGCGAAAGTAAGTTGTCTAACCTCAAATTTCATTTACCATACTTAGCGCTGCTATTTTTCTTTTTAAATAGGAACGGCGCGATTGTCGTGTAAGGCAAGCGAAGTCGCTTGCGACAGCGGTGATTGCATTGACTTAGCAGTGATCTGCAACGGTGTCAAAGATTGTGTAGATGGATCAGATGAGAAACTGCCGAAATGTGTGAATCGAACATGTACGGAAAATGAGTATAAATGCAAATATGGCGCCTGTATTCCCATAGAAAAACGTTGTGATAGAAATAAAGACTGCGCGGACGGTTCGGACGAAACACTTTTGTTGTGCACCGACAATTATGATAAATACACTAATATACTCCAAGGCAATTGTGAGTAAGTACTAGATATCAGTGAAAAATAATATTTTACACACCACCAAAGCGTAGTTCAGTTTGCATGGAGCCATAGACTAAATTTTCTGTTAAATTTGAAAAACTAAAGATTGTGGACTATTTCGTGTTTGTACTCTAAACTTAACAAAAAAATAGAAGAAAATTTATATGATGTGCAGGTACTTTTTCTATCTTATAAATATAATGTTATAAAAGGAAATTAATTTTAAAAAATATTAAACAGGTGTCAACTTATATCAAAAATTAGTTTGCTGATAAAAAAAAGTAAGGTCTTTAAAACTCTTCAATTGTGCTCCGTAATACTGAATTTATTTTAACTATCATAATATTCTTCATTCTCTTCAGCTTGCTATTCTAATTCCTAATGTTTAATGAATTTTATTTAAAATTTTAGTAGGTGATAATTCTCTTAAATTTACTTTTGCTCATAAACAGTTTCCCCTGTCAACTCTTTTAATCTTTGTTACAATTCATTTGTTTCATTCATTTACCAAAAGTAGGTGACAAGCCTTATAAAAAATAAATTTTCGGCTACCTAATCTGTGTAAAGATAAAAGTAGATGCTTCAATTTTTTGTCCAACATGACTTCGTGGTTCGGTTTCATTGCAATACTTTAATATGTTTCACTTAAAAACCACATGCACATGCTCCATCTCACCATGATTCATTTGTCAGCCCTTACGGAAATTTCATTATGTATAATTTTTAGCGACTTACGAGTATGTATTTCCTGTACTGATTTTGCTGCAAAGCTTCCCACTGCAATGTCGATTTGTGGAAGGTTGAGTAACTTTCTTATTGCAGCCGTTGGAGTTGTTCTTAGCGCTCCCGTAATGTATGCGCTCCAACGTATTTTTGTATGAGACTTTGCTCACAACGGTCCACCACAAGAAATTAACGTAAAGCAAAATTGGTTTAACAACCGCTGTGTAACAACAATGCAAGACGCCAGGTGATAAGCCCCATATAAACCCCAGCATCTTCTTACATGCTTGTAGGGCACCACTTAGATCTACAAAACTATCAATAGTCGGACCACTCTATAGTTTAAAAAATACTATCGATATTATCGATACTTTTTCCCCTTAGAAATCGACTTACGTGTCGCGAGTTTAAAATAAGAGACCTTGGCTTTGAACCCTTCATTTTTATGAAATAATTTTTGGATTCATTTATAAAATCAAACATGAACAATAACGATAAGCTCAAAGAAATGTATAAAGTTTCGTATAAAATTTTTCATGTTCCTATATAAACTGCCCAGAGAGCTGACAAGTTATAAAAAGGTTTTATTAAATATTGCGGCTGCATGTATAAATAAGTAAGGTTATGTGACCGCATTTCAGAACATTAAAAATTCTTACCTAATTGTAAATATTTCCATAACATTCCTTCTAACGCATCCAACGCCTAACTAAAGTGTGAAAAATAATTTAAAACCACGTGCGCGCAACCAAGCCAAGAATGAAAAGATGATTTTAAGGCAATCATTGCCAAAATTAGACTTCACATTTGGTATTACCAGGTTGTATCATTATATAGCTATATTACTTGAAATTTTGCAATTTTATGAAAATTGTTGGTAAGTCAAGTTAAAGGTTAAACCATCGATAGTGACATGAAAATAAAACTATCGATACTATCAATAGTCCCATCGATTGTTTTGCATTGTGAGGAGTTCCTGTTTGCGGTATTCTGAGCAATCTGGTTTCATTCCATTCCGCATCAATCCTCCTGCACTTCAGTAGAGCTTTTATCCATGTTATGATAGCGAGCTCTCTCCGGGCTGCTTCCAGACTGTTAACAATTGCATTATTGGAGACATTGCTGGAGCATTGGACTTATGTCAAGAAAGACGTCCAGAGTATATTCCTTATGTTTTAGAGCTCTTTCTATATTTTGGGTTAGATTGAAGGGCAGTCTCCGTGGATATATCCTTCGTATAGGCGTTTTGTGCTTTCGATATGTTGCCCATAGGAGCCTTTCTGTGATATAGGCTTCTAAAATGTTTGCAGATGTCTTCAAAAGGAATTAGGTTAGACTTATTGGTCTATATTCCTTCGAATAAAGAGGGACTAATTTCATAAAAATTGTACAAATTTAAATTATTTAAATATTTCATTGCCTTCAAAAACCATGATACCGTAATTCCCATGAATCTTATTTTGTAACTTTCACAGATCGGATGAATTGGCGCAATGCCATTCGCAGGAATGCATTTTTATCGAAGATCTGTGTAATGGCATAATAGACTGCAGTGATGGTTCGGACGAGACCGTTGAAATGTGTGCACATATGGTATGTCCCGATGTATCTTATAATTGTGCTTATGGTGGCTGTGTGCCCTACATCGTGATCTGCAACGGCGAAGCAGACTGCGCCGACGGTTCGGATGAGTATGCTGAGTTGTGTGCTCCCATAATAGAGGAGAAGGAGAAATATGAAGCATTGCATAATTTCGACGATAGTTATGCAGTCAATGTAGAAAAATTCGATTTGATTAAAGAGAAGGAAATTTTAGTGCAACAAATACTTTTGGGGCAAACTTCAAATTCAATAAATACCCAGGAGAATACAGCTAACACGTCCAATATTACGGCTGCTGTCATCGATATAAAACCAATAACACCAATAGTTCCTGTAGATGCGAAAATTCCACTACCAAATCGACGCTGCGCCATACCAGCTAATCGAGTAGCTTTACGTGCAGCTAATGAAGCAAAGAATGTAACGCTGAAAGTAGGCAGTCAAGTTGACCTAAACACCATTGTCACATTCAGCTGTGACGAAGACTGGTACTTGGTCGATGGAGACACTATGGCGCTATGCATGCCTACAGGTCAATGGTCCTCGGCTGTTCCAAAATGCGAAAGTGAGTTGTTGCTGCAAAATTATTACAAAACTGAAAGTTTTTATGTTAATACTTCATACGAATTTATATTGTATTTACTCTCTACGTAGAACGTTGCCCACCGCACTGGATTGGAATATCTACCGATACTATATGTGCGTACAAAAACAAAACAGCCGACTGTCAGGTATACAGCAAGCCTGATACATCTGCCGTTGTAACATGTGCTAAGGGTTATAAACCGATCTCTACAAGACAAGAATTGCGCTGTGGTATTGACGGAGAATGGGATAAGACGAAATTAATATGTCAGCCGCAGTGTGTAATACAATCCAAGGAAAAACCTTTGAATGAAGAGGTGGCCGTAAACATTTACAGAATAAGTAGAGACAAATTAAACCAACAACACCTCCAATATCAGTTGGCTTGCAGAGGCACCATAATTTCACCGAAACTTGTGCTGACTTGTAAGTAAAATACTTTCTGTTACAATGAATTACTCCTAGGAGCGTAGTGATAATTATCATAATAACGAGGAAGTAAATTGAGGAGGGTATCGGTTTTATTTACTTTATTAATTAATTAAGATTATCCCGTAGCTTGGGTTATTTAGTTATGACTTTTGTTAAAAACTACAATTTTTGGTTTGCTGAAAGAGATTCAAAATTATTTGGAGACTTAAAATACAATAGCATGCATAATTTTTTATATGTATGTCAAGCCAGAGTTATGTTTACCGCTCAAAATGAAGAAGTACAAGCTTGAAGTAGGGTGCTAACGATAATTATTCGCAGAGCATTAGAGAGTAGTGATTCGAACAAGCAAGTATTTGAATGCTATAAGCAATGGCGTATTTAAATAGAGAGAAGAATGAACGTCAACATTTTGGCGCATTGATTTGGGAAAAGCGCGTGTTGATACTAGTTGGCATTAGAGAACACCACCATCGGCATTTCAAATTTGTAAAAATACTGTTGAGAGTATAGATGCTCTTATTAGTTAAGGAAAAACGAACCTATGTGGTTATCATACATTTTTATACTCTACACTTATGCTATTATCGTGTATTAATTAAATTTAGCTTAATTTTATGAGTATATTTTTTAATCCTTTCAGCCGCTTTTTGCTTCAACACAAATGACTTGAACAATTCAATTGCAGCCAATGATCCGATTTTATACACCATTCTGCCGTGGAGTAAGTCTATTGAGAGCTTCGGTCAATATGAGCAACTTAAAGGCCGACATAATATTTCTCAAATTATTATGTAAGTGATACTGTTAAATATCTAGTTAATGATGATTCATATTACTAAGCATATATTTTACCATTTTTCTCAACGCAGAGCTGAAACTAACATCCAAACATACACCCCAGCGATTGTTGTGCTCGTTGATTACTTTACTATAATTCCAACACAAACTATGCCAATTTGTTTAAAGTTCCCACTTTCATGTGACAGTCAGAAAAATAGGTATAATACAGAAGGCCTGCTTGAAGGCACAGCCATATTAAACAGCGAGAATTGTTTTGTCGTCGTTGGTTCAATGGAGTTTATATATATGGATAAGTACCAGCAGTGGCTCGAAATGAAAATGATGCTTCATAATTATCTCTTGTAATCATAATCACTAAGCTGAGTTAGATAACCGATGTCAAGTTGGAAACATATACGTACTTATAGATAAATAAATATAATATATAACAATTTTAAATTCCATCAAATTATTTTATTTAACATTACATAAATTTAACAGCAATAAAGATATGGGAATAAAACTTAGCATAAATAGTGCGCTAAATATGTGACAACTTCAACCAAAAACGGAAATCAGTCAGAGGGCTAATAACGAAAGTCTAAATTTGGCGCTAAAAATGAATGAAATCCATCCATGAATTACCCTAGTCACCATATAATACTTAGAATAACTTTCATTATAGAATAGAAACATATTCTTAAGCATAATTTAATTGAATGACAAATACAGTAGTATTAAATAACGAACAACGGGAATTTGTCAGTACTCGATTTAACGAACAACATGGAGAAGACATACATACATATATAGAGACAGTTGACAAAAAACTGAAAAGCAGGGTAATTTTAATGGAGAGGATGATCTTCTATTTCGTAATGTTTAAGGCAAGCTGAGGATACTTTTACAATGAGCAATGGAGTTAAATTGCTGAATTTGGTTTTTCTAAATGAAGGTAGGTAGGTAGGTAGAGTGGCAATTTGACACACCTAGGCCTTTAAGAGGCCCATTGTGATACCACCGGAACTAAGGTCCCTTCACTCTATTGGCTCCTCTCTAAACCACTCCGTACTTCTGATGAACTTTATCAGTAATACAAGTTTTATCCGTGCAACCTCCGAGACGTAGTCAAGAAACCCGCGACCAATAGCTTTGATTATTTTCCTATATAGTGCCGCGCAATCGCATAGAAGATGCTTAATGGTATCCCCCTCTCCTACTTCCCGACAGCTTATACAATAGTCGTTATATAGCGTACCAAGTATACAATACTTGCATGCCTGCCTATTAGACAGTGGCCTGTTAGTACTGCTACTAGAGTTCTTATATCATTTCGTTTGAACTTTAACAGCGGCGTGTCCGGCTCATATTCCATTTATGCCACGTTTGCCTGCTTGTTGAGCAAGTCAGGGACTGATTGCACTGAGACTCAGCTATGTTAATGACATGTTTGTCGATTAAGTATCTACAAGTAGACAGAGGCATATATATGTCCTCCTTTCCAGAATCTAGTTGTAGGGTGGTGCCTTTCCGGCTAGTTCATCTATTACACAGCTCCCGGGGATATCACTGTGTCCTGGGACCCATTGCAGGGTTATCGTGAAATAGAATGGTAGATCCATTAGAATATTACGTTATTCTTTCACTATCTTAGACGAAATCCTATGAGACATTAGAGATTTTAAAGCCGCCTGGCTGTCTGTATATATAAATATATTTCTTGTTGTGATTACACTCCCTGTGAGTACAAGAAGGCTCTCTTTAATTGCTGTGAACTCCGCTTGGAATACACTGCAGTGGTCTGGAAGCAGAAAGGGTATCTAGTTTAGCTGAAAAGACACCGCCGACTACTTGGCGGTTATCTAGTTGGGAACCATCCGTATAGAAGCTTTTCCCTGCTTCCTTGTCAACTACGCCCCTTTCCCACTCCTCTCTGGAGAGAAAGGCAATATTGGAAATCACTATGCTGACTAACGCGCAAGAAGAGAACCAATACTTCCATTTGCACACTTTACCGTAAAAGACAGACGAAATACAAGTATGATAAAAACAAGCTCTCAACGCGTTAGCAGCCAGAGCCAAATCTCACCGATGTCAAAACAAATTACCCAAATGACAGTAAATGTCAAGACCTCAGAAATTTTTTTACCCTCAGAATAGACCACATCTTAGGTTCACATTGTTACCTGCCGAAAAGAACTGAGAAACCAAGTTGCACACATTGTAATATGCAAACCGAACAATCAACCACATATTGGAGGAATTCACTGCTTTAATTCAAAACAGGTCAGCTATATTTGGTAGTACACAACCATCTATATCTATAGAAACTATAGGTATTAATAAGTTAAGGTAAATTAAGGAAACCATAAAGTGACACACCTTTGCTCCACAATAATAACGCATTATGATGGGGCATCTATGGTTGAATTTTTTCTAGAGTGATCATGGCCCCATCATCGAATAAGTTAAATGCACATATCTCCTAAACCATTCAAGCTATAATAACCAAACGACTAGGACAAATGTTTTGACGTCCCTACTCACTTTGTGAAAATAGATGAATTCGGATTATAAGCGAAAATAAGAAAGTTTTCCATACAAGGACATGGTTTTGATCGTTCAGTTTGTATGACAGCTCCATGTAATAAATGTCCGATATCGGCTGTTCCGACAAATGAGTAGCTTCTTGGGGAGAAAAGGATGTGTGCTAAATTTCAGATCGATGTTTCAAACACTGAGCGATTAGTTCACGTATATACAGACAGGCGGACTGACGCCCTGTCGGACATGCCTAAATCGACTTAGGTCATCATACCATATATTCGTATTAATAATGAAAGGGTGTGACATTTTTACTGTTATAAGATTTCTACATTTATGCTACAGTGTGGCGGACCTATACCTACGTGTACCGCACTCTCTCTTACTTAAGCATATATTATATATTACATACAAGTATACAAACACATTATAAATTTCTTTAATTTTTTTTAGTGCATTCATATTCTTTTATTTGTACCAAACTCCGTTTGCATCCAGTTCAAACATTCTTTCTCGGTCCCCTCTAATGCTAGTTTTTAGTGTTTCTGGTATTTGGTTAAACATGACGGCAACAATAGGCTCGTTTGTACAGGTTTTTGTGCGGGAAGGCTTAAAGCTAAGTATGCCAATTATATAGTTGACGCCGTCATTTTCGACAATGATTCCGCTTCCACTATGTCCCTCGCACAGCGTCTCATTCTTCTCAAGTTGAAATGTTGGGCGCACGCAAATATAGCTTCCATTCAAATTGGCGCCGCAGTTACCACGAGGCAATACTTGTAGTTCGGTTTTGTGAAATACATCTGCAAATTTGTTTGAATCCTTTGGCCAACCATGAAGAAATGCTCGTTTGGACTCTACAATATATACGCTCTCAGTATTACAAATCGGTCTTATGTTGTTACTCAAAGTAAGTATTTCGCTTAGTTTTAATATGGCAATATCGATTTGTCTGAAGTGAGAAGAATTGTTGAGTAACATTAACAATAATTACAAGATGAAAATGATCTCGTAATTGCTTAATACTAAAATTATGTGCTTTAGTAATATCTACAAACAATTTTTTTAAATATATAAAACAATATAATATTTTTTGAACGGCCTTAGCAAGTAACCTGCTGCGCTTAAACACTTAAGATAGTCCCCAAATGCAAGAGCGGTTTAATAGCACTATTCACCATTTGGTGTCGAATTTCATGCAATTCACCAACGAGGAAGATGTCGGATTGAACTAATTGATGAGAGAATACTTTCCAAGACAACTTAGCTAGAATTACGATCAAACATTAGTTTAAAAATAAAAATATGTTTACAGATTTGTATGCAACTAACATATTTTTGAGTTCTTTGGTAAGCAAAGTGCGACGAGCAGTCTTCGTGTTACTCACGAATTCATCGCTATGTCACCCCATAAGTCCGAAAAGAGTAATGGCAAACGCAGCAAAAAAGCTAAAAGCATAACGACGGCCACTTAGTTTTGTAGTGCAAAAGTGACGAAATAAGTTGTTGTGGGCCAACTTAAATAAAAGTATTAAATAGAAAGGTTGTTTTAATGTTTTTTATTTTATTTTCAAAGTGTTTGATGCTTAGATACCGACATAAAAGTTGATACATCTATAAGTAGTTCAAGTTAAATTTGTTTTCCACTGAGTAAGTGTTTTGCCATATTCGTCATAATTAGTGAATACTTTTTTAACAAATATTTTTAAAAATAGCTTACACTATAAGTGTTTGGGTGATGTAATTGTAAATAAAGAAGAAATTCAGAGTTGTAGACAAATAAAGTATACTTTATTTAATTTAATAAGTTGGTCGTTATTAAAGTAACAAATATATATTATATTAAATTACAATTATTGATAGCTACTAATAGTTCATACTACTACTACTAATTATTTCAACTAAAAATAAACGAATATATGTAAATCTAAGCCCCAAATAAACAATGAATTCAAAAACTCAATTGGATAAATCACAGCTTTCTTGACGTCAATAGATTTGTTTGAAAGCAAGTCCCCTGGCATCAACTGTTGTATTTGTGATTTTAATCCATTGACGTCAACATTTTTTGCTGTCAGAATCGATCTGTCTGCCACTAAAGATTTTTATATTTTGTGTGTATATCGGCAAATACTTAAGTTTCCATAAGTTTTCATTACCAATATCTAACAATTGTTTTGAGAATGTTTTGGCAGATGTACCTTGAAGCATGACATATAAACGCCCATGTTCACTGTCAGTTATACTTTTACAACATTACGCGATAGTTGCGATGATTTTTAGCAAGCGTTGATTTCATTAGCGTACGTTGAACGTGGAATAACGGGAAGTGTCTATCTGATATCACCTGAAAGAAGTAACAGAGTGCCGCCAAATAGGTTGTCGTTATTTTTTTATGATTTTCAATATCCAATCCAATGCCTCAAGCGAATGTATGTGTGCCATAGTGCATTCATCCATTTTTTTATTTATGTTGCACACTGCATCTGGATTATTTTGAATGTTAAATGATTTGTGATCAAGCATAGCAAATAGTAGACGAATTTGTGTTCCTGTGCAGTATAAAGCTGCTTCAGCAAGCATACTGTCCCAATGATTGTCATCTTCTAGCAACCTTAGCATGTTCATTTGCTTTACGTACATCTTGAAATAACAATGGTTAATGGACATTAACCAACAACAGTCACATATAAAAGCACTTAGTCTGCCTTGGATTGACCCAAATTATTTGATTTGAATAAACCTAGGCATGCATAAATTGCGTGATACTTCTAAATAGTGCAAAGGCATCAAACACATTGCACGATTCAAAAAAGTTGGTAAGCGTAATTTTGTTTTTTTTTTATCACACTGTTTCACAAATGTTCGTGAAAAATACGCGATGGCCGTTTTCGAGATGCACTAAGAAATAATGTTAAATTCACTGTGAGCATAAAATGAAAATTAATTGATGAGAATAAAATAAACCGACTTCTTTTCATCCGTAATCCGTGATATTTACTGGTTGAAAAGTGACAACGTGGATAACTGATTGGTTCATAGAACTATACATGAAAATTATAGTATACTACAATTATTATATTCAATTGTCATCTTGTAGATCTGGATATGAAACAGAATAATATAAAAATCGCGATTAAAAATTCCGATAAAATAAAAAAAAAAACAATTTGTCCAAAAAATTAAAAAAAAAACATAATATTTGGGACGAACCACCCTTAACATTTAGGGGTATAAAAAAGAGATGTTGGCCGATTCTCAGACCTACCCGATAAAAACACCAAATTTCATCAAAATCGGTCTAGCCGTTTCGGAAGAGTTTGACAACAAACACCGTAACACCTGAATTTTATATATTAGATGTATACTCAGGAACTAAGAAATTGAATGACTTGTTCACCTTATGTTGTAAATTAAAACTATTGTCGATTTTTTCAGTTGTTGAGTCAGGAACGCATGCTCACTTATGTATGATAATGGCAACTGATATAAAAGTTACTGATACAAGCTATATATATGGACATATATGTACATACCCTCCTCCGAAGATCTCAGACACGTTGACAGTAATAATCTGAGTATGTCCATTTTTTAAATCCCCGGCGATTATCACGAAAACTTTTCTGTGGTCAAGAACTTCTTCATCTTCCCTTTGGACACAATGTAGAGCTGCAAAAAAAATGCGTATATAATCAACAAGTACAGAAACTAAACCCAAAGATACCGGAAAAAATCAATTAGAGAGTCGTAAATCGGATATGTGGTGTAAACCAAAGTTAAGCCTATACACATACCTTGATTAAAATATCACACATTTTGGCTAATACAAAAAGTTTAAATATTGATACGTACACATATTCGGTATGATATACATATATATTATATATAAATAGGGTCCAATTTCGACTGTTTCAAGGCGTGAGATTGCATACCTTGAGGACAGTATTTAAGAAAATGTTTATTCCGTTAACTTTATTGTAATTTATTTAAATACTGTTATTGCTTGCACAGACAAACGAATCGACAAACAGTCGATCGGAATTTAACTCGTCTCGTCATCCCGATCCTTTATGTACTTTATCTAACTCTATATATATCTCGATTGGTTTTAGATTATTCATGAACTAAACTATTATACTATGTAGCAACATGTTTTAAGAGCACTAAAATAAGGTAACAAAACAAAAAATGCCACTTTGTTAAACGTGGGTGGTGAATGTGGGATGTATTGTATGATGTGAGAATGGATAGAATGGTTTTATGATGGCACGGGATCACTCACCTAACACTCAATTGAAAATACTTCATCTAATTTAACACAATTGTCAACATAATACTCGCATTCTACTACCATCCCTTAATACAGCTTGAAAATAGGCCAGCTGCTTTACCCCAAAAATAATAGAAATCGGTCCGATTCGCCCAGCCATTTATGCAAATTTCCGTTTAATCTGTTGAACTGTGGATTTGTATTTGATCGCCCGATCTATTGGCGTAATAATTGTAAAAGCAAAAATATTTTGTAACTTTAAACATCCGTCGCATTTATACTTTCAAACAGTTTTTAAGGTGGTTGCTTCAGATCATTCAAGTGGTGTGTGACATACTTGTATTAAGAAAATATTTCACTCACCAGTTATCACACTTCTTGGAGAGACAATAGTACCTCCGCACTTCTCGTACAAATTTGTTTTGACACCTACATGCCATGGGGCTTCTGATGCGCCTGCGTCGTAGAAACTCTCTTGACGGCCGCAAATTGGCTGACAATTGATTTTTCTTTTGCTCCAATTTCCTTGGGGTGTACAGGTCATCTCATAGGAACCAAAATCGCTAACATTAAAAAGAAGTAGAGAGTAAATATTAAGTAATATTACTACAAATTTTTATGTTTATCGAGTTTCACACGCCACGAACCAAAAAGAATAAACATATCAAAATTTCGGGTGGAGATATTTTCAGACATATTGAAATGCTTTATTATTTAGTAGCCTGGGTAGCATTCTTTAAACCAAGAGGATCCTAACACAGTACAGTCGATTCACATTCGAACTTATAGTCTTATCAATATATTGATCGGTAATCGAAAATACTTTATACGAACCCTAGTTCTTGCGGTATTTTATAACTATTAGCACACTCCACTTTCGCAATTGTATTAGGTACAATTTTGTCACAAGGAACCATCGATCCGTGAAATGAGCATTTCGCTACTGTAGATTTGCTGTTATGTAGAATGCTTGCATCGCAATATTCTGAAAAAGAGTTTCGATAAATGAATAAAGCATCCAACACTTGTATGATCTAAATTGCATTAAATAAACGAAATCACAGATCTCTAAGATAATTCCTTTATATCCGAACTTTGCTTATATCTAGGACTATATCTAAAGCTAGTGAGTCAGTATGGTTGCAACTATGTTGAGGTTGCTGAATGTACTTTCAATTGTGTAGAATGCGGCGCGCAACCTACGAATTACTTCACTGGTTGCTGTCATCGTTCCCAGTTCCAAACATTTAAAAGCGAATCCTTTATACTCTCGCAATTTGTGGGTTTAAAAGCAGGAAAGATATTTTTAGGTGTTGAAATAACTATGTATAATTAAAATTTGCTTCGATACATTCTGGATAAAGCTCAAAGAAATTATGAAAAAACAAGAAAAAACATTAACTTGGGTTGAGCTGAAGCTATAATACCCTTCACAAATACAAAGGCCCCTTACAAGAACTTGATTCCGAACGTTCAATTTGTATAGCAGCTATATGATATAGTGATCTGATCTGATCAATTTCTGTGGAGAATAATTTGTTGCCTTAAGCAATAACTCGTGCCTAATTTCGTGAAGATACCTCGTCAAATAAAAAAAATTTCCATGCAAACACTTTACTCCGATCGTTCAGTTAATATGGCAGCTATATGCTATAGCTCGGAGATTAGATTAATGCCTCAAATAATAATCCATGCAAAATTTCGTGAAGATACCTTGTCAAATGAAAGAGTTTTCCATACAAACACTTGATTCCGATTGTTCAGTTTGTATGGCAGCTATATGCTATAGTGGTCCGATATCGGCCGTTTCGACAAATGAGCAGCTTACAGACGGACAGACGGACATGGCTAAATCAACTCAGCTCGTCACGGTGATCATTTATATATATAATACTTTATATGGTCTCCGACGTTTCCTTCTGGGTGTTACAAACTTCGTGGCAAAATTAATATACCCTGTTAAGGGTATAAAAAGTATATGGAGGCTGAGGCAATTCGTAGATAAATTTCAAATATACAGTTGTTCAGATTTCTGAAGAGTATTGTACTCTTAAGCATAGATATGTGTTTCTCAATTATACATATCAACCAACCCTTGAAATTAATGTTCATTACGGGTATATTGAATAGAGAATATTGCACATAGCTAGTGCACAAATGATCCTATAGTAATAAAAAGATAAGATACAATTGTGTTATGCCGTTGAGAACATTTATGATTAAGATATTAGTACATAATGCCGTTATATGTATACAGTAGATTAGGATTAATATATATTTATGTAAGTGTTACATATATGAATTAGGATAAGGAAAATCTATAAATAAATTAGCTCTGGGCACCTGAGCGAAGTACTATTTTAACCACATCCTACTTTACAAAAGTATCAATTAATGCTATGATATTAACTGATATATAGGAATTAAAGCCAATTGAAAACTTTGAAAGTCTTTTATTAGGTATATGGGGGCAAGGAAATTATAGACCCGCTTTTAACTATTTTTGACACTTCTTATCTCGGTCTAATTGACCGATATTTTCGATAAAAGATCAGCCACACATACATATACGCAGTCATATCTATATATATATATATATATATATATACGTTATACTCACTAATGCAATCTGGTAGTGGTTGATCCCACACATATTTTGCACCATATTTTTTACATATTCTATACTGGGATTCGTTTCTGCCGAGGAAAAAGAAGTTATTTTTACATTTAATAATAATGCGCGTGTTGGCGGAAACCCATTCCCCGGGATTAATTTTATAGTTCTCCATCTCATGTTTTATATCATAATTTGAATCTTTTTTAATTGGACAGCCCTGTCTAGGGACTGTAGAGTCTTGAACTTTTTCTTTTGTTCCACATTCTTTCTCGTCCGAATTATCAAAACAATCTATAATTGAATCGCAGATTTTATTTTTAGGTATGCATCCACCAGATTTGCAACGGAAATGCGTCCTGAGAGAACAATCACGTAAATGACACAAAAAAGGCTGTTCGTCGCTCTGATCATAAGGGCAATCAATTCTTCCATTGCAAAAGTTATTTTCTGGAATGAAATGGCCAGACTCACACGATTTCAATTCTTCAGGATTACTGCAAGAAACAATTCACATAAAAATATATATTTGAGTGTCTGTTAGTTTCCAAGTTTCAATTTACGGTTTAAATTTACGGCCTTAATTCTACGTATTTTCCCACGGAAACAACAAGTCAACCTAAAACTTTAAAAAATTATATTCTAATACAAAACATTACTCGATACAAAAAAGTAGAGTCCTCAGAAAACTTGCTGTATAACTTTAACATCATATTACTTTAAACACAATGTTGTTATGGAAAAAATTAATCCAACCTTTTTTGTAGAGCGTAAAATTTTGTATTACAATACCTTCTTTTGTAGGTTTGCTTGCCTAATGCACATTATTAAAAAATCCCATATTATATCGGACATGTTAAATTGATAATAAAGAGCTTGTCTACGTTGGATCATTCTTTTAGAGTAAATTCAATTTGGAAAATATATTACAAAAAAAAGTTTACCTTGGATGTATATTGCAATAATATTTCCACTCATCTGAGTTGTCAGCACAACTGAACATGTTGTTATCGCACTTGCTCATTATTGGAATGCAACCGCCGTAATTACAGCGGTAATTATCATTCGTGCACTTTTGGTCTTTACAAGGACTTTCTGTGATATTATGAATCGAGATTTCATCAGATCCATCTTCACAATCCTTATGGCCATCGCATTTGTTCAAACAGTCTATAAAATTACCATTACTACAGCGAAAGCCCACGTTATCATCACATATTTCTACAAAAAAAAAAAATACATATTTATACAAATATTTTCATACGATTATAACCAAATGTAATCTCCCTTTAGTGCTTTACTCTCGCAACACTTTGCACAGTGTACACAGAATCCGTGGGGTGAAAATTTTTAAAACACTCGGCCTGGCCCACAAACCACCAAAAGCAAAAGATTTCTTACATATTGATAGAGATGCGATATTAAGTCAACCGGAAGTTCGAAAATATGTATATTAAATATATGGGGGCTAAGGGAAATATCGACCCGATTTTAATCATTTTCGCCTCAAGAGCATGCTGTTATAACAAAATTATTCTTCCCGAATTTCAATACTAGAACTCACAGATTAACCCACGCATTTGGTGTCCTCGACAAGTTATGGTCCTATTTCGAGAATTTCGAGCTAAAGAGGACACTATTTTTTGCAAAGTTTTACTTTAATAACTTTATTGATGTTTGATTTGTATACTGTAAAGTGAAAGAATCACATGGCTTGAAAATGTATGATCCGATTTTCGCCATTTTTTGTAGGAGATGCATATTTGGCATGGATATTTTATATCCGAAGTCTTCATTGGTGTTTGATTTATGTACTGTAAAGTATATTAAATTGTGATATATGGAAAGTAGTCAATTTTACACTGTAAAATAAGAATATTAGAATAATGTTATGCATGAAATTTGGTTCAAATTTGTTAATCAGTCCAAGAGATATAGGATTTTACCTTGGCTGTGAAATTAATGCTTCTGATAAATTTAATGGACTTACAAACGTTTTCAGCAAAAACTTTTACATAGGAATCAGTTGAAAATACCCATATGGGTTGTGATATTTATGTTAATATGTTAAGTTATTTGATCTGACATGGAAATAAAATTAATAAAGAACTTAAAATTGAGAGATTTGTTTGACCATGGCATCGTTTTTACTGTATTTATAACCATCTGAGAGCGATTTTATATAACGCCATAATTCTTTGGACTAAAGTAGATTTTAATAGGGGTGTTTTAATTTTCGCAGACTTCAGTTGTTGAGATGTAAATTCTTTGCGTTCCATAAATCAAATAGTTGGTTGAACAAATGTAGGAATTTTCGAAAAAAATGTTTGGTGTTTAGGGAAAAGATCTTCTGAGAACACAGACGCAATTATTTGAAATTACAGTGAAAAATTACATCTCTTATCATAAGGGTTTCATTTTTAAGCACGTCGTATTATTTGAGTCAAAAATGCTTATTCCGGATTTTCATTTTCAAACCGAACAGAACCTTTTTTTTTTGTAGTCGATTCTGGTTCGGTTTTCGCAATTTAAAACAAACCCGGTTTGGTTCGTGGTTCGGTTCAAGGCTCGTAAAAAGAGACGGTTCGGCTCGAAAACAAAAAATCGCAAATCGCTTAATGTGAGAGAGAGAGAAAGTTTGGAGGCTATAGCTATTGAACAAAGGCAGTATTGCAAAGGGAAAAGTGGATTATGGATCCATCATTGAAAACAATGAAGTTTTTCGAGAGTATTAAATTTTCTATTATTTTACCTCTTTGTTTGGAAGAGATACATACATCCCCAGAGGGGACTCTAGAAATTGGGAATATTCTATGATTATTGTGTTTGTAAGGAGAGCGTTCCAAATATTTAAAAAATTACTTGCAATGAACTTTTGATGCGGATGATGTACTACAAGGTACGTTCCAAAGTAAACAGGACTTAAAAAAAAGACAGAACAAATGGTTTTATCGGCAAAATCAATTAATTTTATTCAAAATAGTCTCCTTCTGCTTTAATATAGCTTTTTGCACGGTCCAAAAGCATGTCGAACGAGTGTTTAGCCTTTTGAATGGCCTCCACGTCTGCATAACGCCTTCCTTTCATCGGCAAATGCATTTTTCCGAAAAGGTAGAAGTCGCACGGTGCCATATCAGGTGAATACGGAAGTGGTTGATTGTTAAAATGTGATTTTTGGTCAAATAATCGGACACAAGCGTCGATCGATGAGACGGGGCATTATATTGCAACAAACGCCAACTTCCATCTTCGCGATATTCGGGCCGAACACGTCGAATACGGCGCACCAAACGCTTCAAAACTCCAAGGCCGCATTAACGTTTTGGCCGGGTGGAAATTCTTTGTGGACAGTACCCTTGGAATCATAAAAACAAATCAAAGTGAAGACAATACTTTTGACTTCTCCAGGCGCGATTTTTGGGATTTCGGCTCGTCCGACGCCTTCCATTCAGCACTCTGGCGTTTCGTTTCGGGATCATATTGAAAACACCACTTTCGTCACCAGTCACAATCTTGTAAAGGAAGTTCGGGTCTTTTTTTGCCTCTTTATTGATGTCCTTCGAATGTTGAATTCTGAGTAATTTTTGGTCGTCAGTCAATTTGTGCGGAATCGATGTTTTGGAGATGTTCAATTCTTATTCCAATTTCGATGGAATTTTCGGTGATCACGGATTTTGGTTGGCCCACATGTTCATCGTCATTTATAACCTCACGACCGCTTTGAAAACGTTGAAACCACTCGTGCACTCTACTACGGGATAGGCGATCATCGCCAGAAACTTGTTTCATCAATTGAAACGTTTCGGTAAAAGTTTTACCAATTTTAAAACAAAATTTAATGTTGGCTCTTTGTTCGAAGCTCATTTTCGCACCGATGACAAAAACATACTGACACTTAAAACGCAAAATCTTCACTTCCAATAGATGAAATATCATGAAATTTTTACTGGAAGTCGATAAAGGATAGCAGATTCTAACGCACTAGTCGACATATAGATGGATGAAAGACGGAGATGAAGAGGTGAAGACAGGTGGTATTTGTGTTTTATGTATATTTACTGCTTCTTAGCAATAGCATCCAATTTCTATTTGTATTGTTGGTATTTTCTTATTTTAAACGAACTTTGGACATGATTTGCTTGAGACAGTTCCCGCAAATTTTCCATTACTCCATTGTGTATGACTAAGTTTAAGGAAAGAATGTAAATAGTGCCTTTCGAAAAATTAGATTTTTGTGAAACTTTTACGCCGCATACACGAATGAGTTGTTTTGCCGTGTCAAATTTTTAACAATCGTTTTTTTTTATGAGAAATAATAAGTTGTCGTCACTTAATTCACTAAATTTATTCATAGGCTTATTTTTTTTCAATTGAACCTACCAGTATGTATTTAGAACTATCTTTTGTTGTTGTTGGTAGAGTAATAAATTAGACTAGCAAAATAAACGTGAACATTAAAGTATCACTGAGAGCATAACCGTTTGCGCCTGTCGATAACGCAGGGTTATATAGGGGTTAGGGCAAGTTGTCACCCAATTTTATCTATTTTACGCACAAAGATGCACCATTATTAGAAAAACACGATCATTCTATAACTCACATACTTGCCGATGTTGGCGAAATAAAATCAGCCGGAATCTCGAAAATCTCAATCCGTTTTTGTGAAATATAACAAGTTTTTTTCTGATGTACATCTGAGATACGTTTTTTACGTCTTTTACGTTTTTGGATTTTGGATGAAGCTCTGGAATGTTTTATGCATAACCTTTTATTTTTTTATTGTAGATAATAGCGAATAGCGAATAATAACGGATTTAGATAACACAAATTCATGGAAAAATGGAAGCGAATCAGAAAATGAAATGCTGGAGGATAATATTCAAATTTCATTTAATGGTTAGCTTAGAGATTCTAAGCCTCGTAGAAGAGCACAGAGTACATCATTTATACCCAATTTCTTTCTTTTTTAACATAATAACATGTGCATATACAAGTATTAAAAATTTGGAAACTTGTTCGATATTTAAAGTCATTTCATCTTCAATAATAATTGTGGATAAAAATAAATATTACCTATCTTAGCAGCTTAATACGGAATTTTAAATACTTTAACATCTTTTCAAGTTTATAATTCTTACAAATTTCTATACAACGAATATCGTCAATCACCAAATTGAAAACAATCGCGGTCGATAACACCAAACGTTTCATTATTACACAGTAAAAAAATAACATTTAATCAAGTTTTTTAAACCCGTTATCATTTTCCTACAAGAGTGAATCGTTCTACAACCGCATCATCTCTCAGTTTAGAATGTACAAATGAAATAACAGTGAAGATGTCGGAATAAAACTTTACACAAATACAATAGTTACTTCAAAGGGTGGCACCGCTTACAATGAAAAATCTGATAGATATCGGATATCTATTTTCAAGGCCGCATATACTGAATATGGGTCCTCGGTGCATGTATGACATCTCTCTTTGTAGGCTAAATATTTATCAGACCGTCCTCTTATCAAAATGCTTAAACAGAGGTTGTGATCAACCACATAAAATGTAGTTACGGAAAGCTAACTCAACTGTAAGCTTTTTTACAACACAACTAACCGAAAAGCAAACCAAAATTGCCATGAAACCAAAAACAATCAAAATTTGCGAGTCAAAGTCTTATCTCGACACAAGAGTATAAATAACGGAAATAGAGATTTGAAATCTAAAAAACTAAAACACGTAGGGAAGAGCTAAGCTCGGATTCAGCCGAACATTTTGTAATTTGCAAAGATTTAAGGCTAAACCATATGGTGTTTAGTTCATCGAAATACCACACATATTGACCGATATATGCGGCTTAAAGTCAACCGGAAGTTCAAGAATTCAATTAGAATTTGGGTAACTTATTTTTTTAGTTTCCTATTATTATATATATATTTAAATTAAAATTAACCTATTTAATTATGTTATGAAATATAAATCTGGCATCACAAAATGTATCTCTATTTTTACACTGTTCTTATGTATACTACTTGTATATTCAATAAAGTTAGTCGCCATCTTACATTGAAACTGCGTGAACATATTATACAAGTAGGCTTATTCGCAAAACGTAAGATTGTCAGAAATTATTTCTGAAATTGATTCGAAAATGGCGGCGGGAACTCTTAGTTTTCCTTTTAAAAACTTCGCAGACGCGAAAATTTTGATGTCTGCTGGAAAAAGATTGCGACAGCAATGATATAATATTACACTCATGATGGAGCCGAATAATTTCTCGCATATAGCAAGTGCTGAAAAAAAATGTGAAAAGAGAGATTTGTTGCCGTTGTTGAAGATCACTAACAAAAATTGTAAAACAATGAAAATTTAAGAAAACGCGAAGTTGAAATGTATTAGATGGAATCGTTTGTGATGCCATGCTTCGCAGTATTAATTTTCAATTGAAAACGGATACATGTTTAATAATATTTAATCTTAATAAATTATGGGCATTTTAATTTAAATGCCCAAAAATTATTATATTGTTTGATCTAGCTGCAAGGAGAAATTTTATAAAAAACGCAAATTTTGAGGCGCTCTCACTCAGAAATAAGTTGGACATCTCTTTATCCCTGCTGGAAACAGTAATCGACCCAAAGCCGTAAGCAGAATCAGCTGATACGACCAGTCTTATGAGAGTGCAATGTAAATCACTCACCACCGCTTCTACAGACCATACGGTAGGATATCCGCGAAAATTGGATTTTACTCGTAGAAACGAGTCAGCTGATTGCTCTCTTGCAACGCAGGGTTGCCAGTCTCGATATAGTAGTAATTAAAAAATAAACTTTAATATATTTGAAATAACTTAAAAGCACAGTCGAATACATTTATTTACAAATAGGTAGACTATTGTTAATACAATTTAATTTTAATTTTGAGCTTTTACGTTATGAAAAACTATAACTAAAAAACTAAATGTGTACAACATTGGTGAAATGAAAGTAAAAGAGAACAACTGAATTCTACGTTGTCACTACGGGCATAACTTTTGACAAATTTTGTTTGATACGGACGATAAGTGTGTTTCCAGCATAAGGTTTTTGATGTGAAAAACCGATTAATTGCAAAAGCACGTGCATAAAATGAGTTGTATAAAATAGAATGTGATAAGATTCCAATTGGAAATTCAATAACAATTATTGACAGTTTTCAGCTTTGACATCGAAGGTTAGCACATATTTACAAGAACAGCATGAAGCAGTTGCAGAATTCAACGCTAGGAGCTAATTTCAACGGCGCAAGTGAGAATGGCTGCATTGTATGCTGCAAGGGTGAACAAACTAGAATAACAACTAAATCAGCTGGTACTCGAGCTGAAAATTTGTTAGGCGTTGTGCATTCGGACGTGCTTGGTCCAATGAGCCCAAAATTGTTCAACGGCGCAAGATTTTTGTTGGTTTTTTTTTGACGATTTTTCAAGAAAGAAATTCCAATTGTATACAAATCAGACACCCGAGCAGAACGGGGTTGCTGTACAGATGAACCGTACGTTAATGGAACGTGTGAGGTCCAGTTTCTGGATTCTGGCCTAGAAAGGATATTCGGGACAGAAGCTGTAAATACGGCAGCGTAATTAGTAAATCGTATTCCGTGTAAAGGTAATAGTCGAAGTCCGGAAGCAACATGGTCCGGTGTGAAACCGAATTTGAAACACTTATGCATATTTGATTGTACAGCGATGATTCCTATACCAAAGCTGAACCGTTTAAAACTAGATGCAAAATAAGATGACTGTGTTTTTGTTAGCAGTTGCGATTTATCAAAAGCATATCGTCTTTACCGAAAATCTGGCAACAAGTTAATTGTGAGTCGTGATGTTACATTTTTAGAAAATATCAGCAGTAAATCCATGCGCGCAGAGCCAAATCTAATTGTTGACATTATTAATGACAAAGAATCTAACGACATTAACAATGCAGGGGATGTGAATAAGAGCGAATTGTCTGCTATCAGTAAATCTTCGAAAAGTGAGTACGATACTCCTTTTGAAAGCGAAGTAGGTGATCATATGGTTTAACAAAGGCGATACCTGCTGTTAAAAATAAATTTATTAATATTAAATTAGGCTTAAAGTAAATTCATGTAAATTTTAACATATTTTGAATTTTAATTAACATATTTTTAGTGTTGTCAGATGTTTTATTAAAGGGAAGTGTTATGAAATAATATAAATCTGGCATCACTAAATTTAATTTACTTTTTACAGTGTATAGTATACATAAACTATATTCAGTAAAGTCATTCGGCATCTTACATTGAAACTGCGATCTCAGCTCAACAAATTCAAATGAGATGAACATATGCGGTACAAAGTCAACAAGAGGATCTAAAATCATAACATAAGAGATAATTCAGTAAAAAAATTAAACATTTTGACCAACGTAGAAAGTTTAACGTCAATTGGAAAGTAGAAAATCGTTATGTCGAGTGTGTTTGGACTAAGTGAACGTCTGGACTGATTGCATTAACTTTTGGCATTACTCGAGAACATATTTTCACACAGTTTTCGGAAAACACAAATACTGGCTGAGATATTCGAAGTAAAGTCTGCTAGAATAACGAAAATCATTATATGTATTATATTATATGAGAACTGGGGTAATTCACGGATTGATTTCACACAATATCCGAAATTAACTCTAATGCTTATGCATTCATGTTCATTTACTTTTGCTAAGATATCTTACATATTGACCGATATTCCATCTGCAACTACATTTTCACGTATACAAATCTAATACAAAATATTTTCCACTTTGAACTCGGCTCATAATTCAATGCAAGCATGCCAACGCTTAATTCAATGTCCCACAAACTTTTTATAAGCCTCGGCTGAGATATCCTTCAGTTTTGGTTTTTTTTTTTTTTGATTTCAGATTCTTTTTTGGACCAAACAAAAATGTGTTGAGCCAATCTATAAGAGATTTTGAGATTCTTTTCTATTTCTCTGATGCTCGCACGACTATTTCCGAGCCCTGTTTCATTAACTTTTTCGATGTTATCGTCATTAACGATGACTTCACGACCTTCACTAAATCCATTGTGTCCCTCAAATAATTGTGTTTGTTAAACGAAAGTAATATACTCAGTAGCAACATCATGCGAGCGTATAATAAGGTTATATAAATTTATGATAATATAAAAGATTTCGCCTAGATTTTCACTCAAATTATCGCTTTGGGAATTATAAACACGCGTTAGGTGAACAAAACTGTTATACTCTGTGCAACATGTTAGTGTATATTTATGCCATAAACGTGATTTCAAAAATATAGAGAAACGCTTTTGGAAGTTGAAGAACTCAATGGATTAAAATATGAAGCTATCGAAAGTTTGAAAGTTTTGTAAGCACTAACATTTTGGTAAGACAATAACTGGAATCATTTGGTTTGTCAAAATTATCAGAATTTTTACTCGAAACCAAATCCGATCTTCGGCTAATTTTCCCCGAGGCCGAACCGAACATTTCCAATGCCTAACATAACATATTGCCACCGTGCATCATCTTCCCTCTAAAGTTATAAAGCTCATCTCCTACACAAAGCTGAAGAATTTTTTCTCGGCAGCAGTTGTGAGCTTTGATGAAAATTATAAAACACATACACTTTTAAAAAATTTTAATTATCATAACCTCACGAATGGTCGGAAATTTTATGCTCGAAACCGTACTTTATTGGACGAACACGTCCGAAGTCCAAATTTAACACGAAGTCCAATAGAACATTTGTACTCTGGGCACCAGTTGTTATAAACTTAAACGATCCATAACCACGCCCACAAATCTTCCATCACCTATTCTGTAACTGTTTGAACTGGAACATGAGATCACGCTGTAAAAATCAACAACTGGCATTTGTAAGTTAGCTTATCAATTTTTTTACAACCAAAATTATGCCACATTATTTTCAGCAAGTTCGTATTTTCACATTTTTCATTTCCTAGTGTTTTTTGCATTCACTTTTTATCGGCAATATATTTTTACCTTCGTCCTCAGCTCGTATGCAGTTCACAAAGAATAGTAATATAACTAACAAGAACTTAAATTTCCGCATTGCTTGTAATAATATTTATATTTAATACTGGTTAACACGTTTCTATTAGCGCCTTTCCGACTCCCGTGTTCATGGGCGAAAGTAGAGTACACAACTAGGAAATCAAACGCTCGGTCAAGTGGGTATATCAGAAATATTGCTACTACGCGAGAAAATTTTTTTAAGATTCTCTTATAAAATTTCGAAGAGGAAATGCATATCAAATTCAAAGAAATTATTTATTCATATATACATGCTTTTATCAACACAATGTGACAGTTTATTGTATTACATCCACTCATACCTAGATTAATATCGTGGCAAAGTTAAGTCATCTCTTGCATTTTGTCAAATGCCATATTTTTATACTTTCTTTCTTAGCCCAATAGTTGTGAAGCTTGGCTAAAATAAAGTTATGGCAAATTAGGTGAGCGAATCAAAATGTCCGCAACAAGCGCCAACCACCACTTAAAACACGATACTACACAATATTGTTTTTTTTTAAGTTTATTATATTATTTACTCATTTATATAATATATTATGTGTGTGTGTTTGGTTTCCTTTTTTGCAGCTACTCGCTTTTAGTTATTGAATTAATCTTTTTATTCACTTTTTTGAATGTTCATACATTGCAAATGTGTATGGGTATGTGTGTGTGTGTGTGTGTACATAGATATCCATGCTTTTATGCGGTGTCAAGCATATAAACACAAGTAAATACATATTCTTAAATTAAGTCACATACAGGGTTTTCACTTTTCAATTAACTCATGAAAGCGTCTGGTTGATTTACACATTTCTTACATTATTTATGTAGCTCCGGGTTGCTTAAATATAGTTAGTATATATAAGTAAAATATATAATAATAATTTTCTATCCTTATTAAATACATCTGTTCATATGTAGTCTGCGGATGTACGCAAAGATTTTACTCTATTATTTACTTGTGTATATATGTGTGTGTACATATGTATGTATTTATTTATGGTTTTACATACAAGTATGCACATATTTAAACCATGTAAATATTTTACTATAATTTACATCTAGCAGAGTATTTGAGAGAAAGACAACTATGAGTGCTCTATATAATATTATTTTTAATTTCTCTTTCTTGTACGCAATTTCTTTCTTCGCAATTTTTGTTTATCGAAGTGTTCTTTTTTTCATTTGTTTGGCGGCTTTCAGCTTCGGATTGATGGTTGCTTTTAGTTATTTAAGAAAAATATGTAACTTTTTATGGTAATTATGACGGCTTTTTAAGCATACTTCTAAGACTCGCCCTGCTTCAAACTTGCGAACCAAGCTTTAAATTGTAAAAAACTTTTAATCCAGAGCATACTTCACTGAAATAGAAGTATTTACAGAATTAAGCTTTGAATCGTCAAGAACACCTTATTCAAAGCAGTCGTCATTGAAGTAGCGGGATTTTCAAAACTACACTTTGAATTATAAAGAGCTTCTTGTCCAAAGCAGCCATCACTGAAAACAGTATTTGTATGAAGTATGAAATTTCAAATTGTTTGAAGTCAAAGATATACAGATTATTTTTAATCACTACATGACTTTCTACATACCTACATATGTATGTATGTATATATGTTAGCAGTTGTATACATATTTACAGGGAATGAAGCTTTTTGGCATTAAAACTTTACAAAGTTACTTACAACGTAGTATACAACTAAAAAGTATATAACACAAAATACTGTAATTTTTTTAATCTATATCTATAAGTGTATGTATATATAATGGTTTCAATATGTATTATTGTTTACATTTTAGGATATGCAGCAAATGACATTGACCCACACAGCTACGCCGTGCTTAGAATAAAACTTTCAAATATAAAATAAATAAGCTTAACATAAAAAAAGAAAAATGTTAACTTCAAATGTATTTTGGATAACATAAACGGGCATAAAAATGTCTTTATCTTGGGTTTGATCGATCAGTTAGTATGGCAGCTGTAGCTATACTTGTCCGATACCGGCGGTCGAAAATGGCTAAATCGACTAAGCTCGTCACGCTGATCATTTATATGCATACCTACTAGTATGTATATGTATACTTTATAGCATCTCTGAAGTTTCCTTTTGGGTGTTACAGACCTCGTGGTAAACTTAATATATAATTTTTATGGTATAAAAATATTGCTGAAGCCTCTTTGGTTATCAACTTATGACTTACACTAAAGCTTCATAAAGGTATATTATGTATGCTTGACTGCTTTTGGCCTGTCATGTGCTTCATTACCAAAACTTCAAACGTTAAAGTAAATCAACTATTTGCGTCAATTAAAAACTATACAAATTCGTGAAAAGTGAAAGGTTCACTCCAGTGTCGGATCCACCGGTTGGTTTTCGCTGTCAAAACGCCTTCCAAAAAGAGAGATATTAATTCAAATTCAAAAGAATTTACGAAGCAACATTAATATTAAAGAGATGTTGAAAGAAAACCGCCGTCAGATAGAAATTTAGGATGTACGAGTATGTATAAGTATGTAGTAGACTGAACAGCTTGGTACTGCACGTAAGAATTATGGACATTAAACTTTTGAGCGCCATTTACAAATACATATACATATATACACATATATGTATTTAAGCCTAAATGTGTGTCTGTATGTACGTATGCTTGTATATATATAAATATATATATGTATGTGTCTGTAATTCCATAATTTATGCTCACATGCTCACAAATTTATTACGCGTGTGCTTCATATGCGACTGTATGTATTTAGAGAGCATAAATATGTAGGTTTATTATACAAGTATGATCCAAAACGCTGTGACGTCTAGTGATTCATATTACTTGACGAATTTATTAATTTCATAAGTTTTTGTTCAGCTTCATGCCTTTTACTTTAATTTCACTGTGCTGAATTATTTTTCATTTGTTTATTGCATTTAATGAAATAGCCAATTTTATTTAATATCTTTCAATATTATTGCATTACATTTTATGAATTTTTTATTATTTATATTTAAACTCTTCAGTATTGTTGAGTATATTTTTTAAATGTTTTAGAACTTATATATGTGCATACATATTCCAGCTTTGTACAAATAAATCTACCAAGTACACACGTACATATGTATGTATATACATGCGTACGATTGTTATTTAACATAGTATATAGCATTTATTGTACTGCTTACGGTTCGGTATCTGTTGCGGTTTTGCACACTCACAGCTATTAAAGCTACATTTTAAGCTTATCATATTTCTTTATACCAACACATGTGTGTATATGTATGTGTGTGTATTTTTTAAGAATCGGATTTTTGGTTTTTCAGTTGAAAAATGCTACATTTTCCAACTAGTCTGCACACACACATATGAATTTATATATGCATGTGCATAACTACTTTAAAAACGATCATGTATTAAACATTCATGTATGTATGTGTTTTCGAAAAAATATAATGTTACAAAGCCTACTTATTTCACGGTGTTCTTCTGAAGTAATTCTGTATTGACGTTGGTTGGACATTGGCTTACAGTAGCTTATAGGTTGAGAAGACTATAGATTTTACATTATAGAATTAATTGTGCAGGTTTTGAGCTTCCACATTTTTATTTTATCTCTTCTGGTCTTACAATATTACGGTTATATTTAATGAGCAACTACCTGTTGTAACTTAACAAAAAAGCTTTTATGTGAGATTACTGACGAAATAATTATTTTAACAAGTTTTGTATAGCTTACGATATTTTTGGTTTTGCACAACTGTTAAGTCAACTTAAGTCTTATAAAATTTATTTTATGTGTTGAAAATGCACAAAAACTGTTTTGTAACTACAACTGCGTAGCAACGCCACGCCTCTCCTCACTGTCTTTATATAATTGAGTATTATGTTTTAGAAATTATTTCTTACGGTCTGCATTGGTTCATACATATGTTTATTTTTTATACAAACATATTGTACATATTTTGAATATAATTTGGTGTTTTCTATGCGAAACTCTTAAAATCCAAATAAATTATATACAAAAAAGTTTACCTGTTGAGCAGTTAAGGGACTTTAAATTAAAGCAGACATTTTAGTTTAAAATTAAAGGCAAAGCGTAGAAGCAAAACTTTTGTAAAACGTAAAAAGCACGCATGAATCCAAAAGAACTCCTTTCGTTTTCATATAACCGTAAAACTACATAAAATTGGTCTACTAATTGAAATCGCTTGCTAACGAATTCACACACTTTTACTGTAATTGTGGGTTTCTCTGTTAAATTTTATTAATGTGTGTGTGTGTTTTTAATGTGTTTTTGTAAATTCAACATTTGATTGTGTGTGTGTGTGTATGTGATCTCTCCACACTTGGAACTGCGTTGATAATACATACAGCTCTATGCTTATATTACAGTTATAGGTGAGTATGTTGTTGCTCTTATATATTCGAAAGCTGTTTTATAAGTTGCAATATTGAGCTTTCATTAGTATTTGGAATTATGAATATCATTTGGTTCAAACTGTTTTGCACACGATTAGCATACAAACATATGTTTGCTTACGTATGTATTGTATAAGTTTGCACATATGCCTAAGTGGTTTTGCATTACTTTAACATAATTTAGCAGGTTTTATATTTTCAGTACAAAATCTGTGCCCACAGCAGATATACCTTTCTAACTGAAAATAGTTTTCGTCTATTTTTTTTCTCCGCTTTTCATATTATTTTACTGTAACTTCTTAGCATCTTACTCGTTGAGCTTGTGCCATTCGGCAATTTGTCTTCTTGGTGAATTGCACACTTCATTCCAATGGTTTAGCGCTGTGCCACCAGAGTTTGGACCGCCAAGTTCCAAACGACCAATTACCTGCCGGTGTTGAATGAAACAGTTTTTCAGTTAATTCAATTTGATTTAAATTTTTGTCAGAAAGCTTACCTCATTCTTGGTAACTCGATCCCAGTCCAAGAGCATCAACTCCAGTGAAACACCGTCGAGTGTGGCGCCGATACCCTGAAAATAGTAACACATTTTTGATAGAACAAAACATTCAAGGAAGAGGTATTTCATAAGAATAAATCTCCAAAGTACCGAACATATAATTATATGGATATGCACTACGCTTATAATATATTTTCGCGCGGTTGTTTTGAACAATAACACTGGTCTACAATGGTTTTGTTGCCTTAGATATAAGATCGATTTTGGATATATTTTTACTCGCCGATCTTAAAATTATCAATGAATTTGTAAGATTTGCTCTGGTTTATTTTTGCACCAAATACCATGCCATTGAAGTAAACAGCGAGAAAATTGCCGAAAACCCATGTTATATTTCAATAAAACTCCTTTTATGGGCGTTTATTTTATAATTTTTCAGTTGACAATTTTTAAGGACCAGCAGCAATCTGCTATCATAACACAATCCTATCACTTTTAGAACCTGGTGGAACCGGTCTCTATTCCTCACTATAATTTCCAAAATTAGTTGAAAATCTATCCAGATGATTGCGGAGATAGTCTAACTTGATACTTGATATTCGCTCCTAGACTCTGAAAAATTCATATCAATTTTTCAGCATATTTTGAACAATATCTTCACAATTTGGTGCTTTATGGCTACCTATGTAGGGAGTTTTCAACTACCAACACAAAACTTTTCCAATATTCACTTTGCAGAACAGTCATTACTTTGACAAACTTTGTATATTTCATTAAAAGTACAAAATTTATAAAAAGAAGAAAAAATGTTAACTTCAGGTATAAAGAGATATTTACCTCGAGTTTGAACGATCAGTTTGAAGTTTCCTTTTGGGTGTTACAGACCTCGTGGTAAGCTTAATATACCCTGTTCATGGTATAAAAATCGCTCAAGTCTCTTTGGTTATGAACTTATGACTCACACTAAAGCTTCATAAAGGTATATTATGTATGCTTGATTGCTTTTAGCCTGTCATGTGCTTCATTACCAAAACTTCAAACTTTAAAGTAAATCAACTATTTGCGTCAATTGAAAACTATACAAAATCATATTTGCATTGCATTATCCTTAACTCGTAAAAAGTGAAAGGTAGAGTCCAATGTCGGATCAGCGGGGGTGTTTTCGGTCACTTTTCGCTGTCAAAACGCATGCCAAAATGAGAGATTTTAATTTAAATTCAAAAGAATTTACGAAGTAACATTAATATTAAAAATATGTTGGAAGAAAACCGCCCACCAGATAGAAATTAGGGATCCTCTACTAGTAGAGTCTCTGACTTAAACATTTCATATCGTCGGAAATATGTTAAAACAACTAATCTTAGCCTATGTGTGTGTCTGTATGTACGTGTGCTTATAGTAAATTAGTAATCTGGTCATTTGAAAACATTTAAATTTGCTAAATATCCAGAGCAACAAACATGTCTTTGTTTTTTGTAGATCTGTGTAATCCATGCTAAATTTCGTGAAGAAATCGTCAAATAAAAAAATTTTACAAGCACTTGATTCCGATCGTTCAGATTGTATGCTATATGCTATAGTGATCCGATCTAAACAATTTCTTCAGAGATTGTAGCATTGTTTTGGATATTAATCCATGTGATTTTTTTTACCAAATAAAACGGTTTTCCATACCATGACTAGATGTTGATCGTTCAGTTTGTATGACAGTTATCTGAACAATTTCGTCGGAGATCGCACTGTTGCCTTAAATAATAATGCGTGCCAAATTTCTAGAAGATATCTTGCCAAATAAAAAAGAATGCCTTACAAGGACATAATTTTGATCGTTCAGTTTTATGGCAGCTATATGCTATAGTGGTCCGATATCAGCGATTCCGACAAGTGAGCAGCTTCTTGGGGCAAAATTCAGTTCAATATCTTATAAATTGAAGTACTAGTTCGCGGATAAAATTTTTTCAGGACTCATTATTGTTAACTTACTACTGTTGTTTTTTCATTTGGGCTTTTACAATTTATTTCAACTGTGTTTTGAATACATCATCAAATAAGTACCTGCAGAAAATGAAAAATTTTTACTCTTTCGATTACATTTTTTTCACGAATTTTTGCCTCGCCCTTGCCAATAACACTAGTTTAAAGTCATTTTGTGACTGTGATGTTAGAGACTGTTTCTTGCTAATTTTGGGTTGCTAAAACCGATAATGATAATCAAAAATTTCAACACGTAGGGTTTTTATACTCCTACAACATGTTGCTACAGAAAATAATAGTTTTATTCACCTAACGGTTGCTTGTGTCATCTAAAGCTAATCCAGATAGATATAAGGTTGTGTACATATAAATTATCAGAATGAAAAGACGAGTTGAAATCCGGGTGACTGTCTGTCCGTCCGTCTGTCTATTCAAGCTGTAACTTGAGTAAAAATTGAGATATCTTTATGAAACTTGGTACACATATTTCTTGCAATAAATTGCCATAACTAAGCTCCACAATAGGATACAAGACAGTTATTTGGTATACAGGGAGTGGTCCGCCCCCTAAAAGGTTTAATGTGCATATCTCCTAAACCGCCAAAGCTATAATAACAAAATTCACTAAGAACAAATGTTTTTAGCATCGCTATTAACAGTGTGAAAATATGTGACAACCCCGCCCACACCCCACTTGGACTTTTTACGGAAAATATCGGTCAATGTGTAAGATATATAATTGAAGTTCATATAAAAAAATCAATAAAAGAAACTCTCGATAATAGTATGTTTTATGTCAAAAATGGGTTGAATCGGATTAATACTTCCTATAGCCTTCTTATAAATAATATAAAGGTTTTTTAACATTCGTCTGACTTTACTCCAAATGATTGGTGATGGTAGCTGAGGTACCTTAATGAAACAGTGGGCGCATTTTATTAGTCAGTGGCATCTTAGTAGTATGTAGTATTGGCAAAAAATTATAAAATCGGGTTAATACTAACCTCAATTTCCATGTACTATTTATAATGCTTTTCGTTATTCTAACCAGTTTTATGCCGAATATGTCGGTCAGTGAATATTATTATTTTTTTTCTCAAACGAGTATACCATTTGACTTTGCGAGAGTATAAAATGTTCGGTTACACTCGAACATAGCCCTTCTTTACTTGTTTGTGTTGTAGTTAAGGGGTGAAGGAGTCAAACTACCATCATATACTAAAATTACAAAAATAGCTGCACGTGATGGAAAATTTTTGAACTCAAATTCGACACCTCAAATACCCCCACAAAACTCTTAGCACACCAGTTGCAATTTTTTCCTTCGGATTTGTTGAGTAGTGTATGGTGTAAATGGCCCGAAAGTTAATCAGATTAAGCATGTAGTAAAAACATTTACAAATTCTTATACCAATCAATACAAAAATAAAATTAATTATTTGTATATGGTAAACCAATTTCGGTGAAATCAAAAGACAGTACTATATATATAATATAAACTTAACTCAGCTTGAAAATTTTCTTCATAATAAATTCCTTTGTCACTCACCTCTGCAGCCGGTATGTCGAACGCGAAACTTTCATTAAATACAGGACTCAGTGTGCGCTTCTTGACGTGAGTCTTTTTCTTCGCAATACGTTGTCCATTATACAGCAAATAGATCTTTACGTATGGATCGGCTAAACCGGTTACGTCCATGCGGGGCAAATTGCGGGCCTTCAATAGGACAACAGTCAAACGACCGGCAGCTGGTTGCCAGCAAAGTGAAATCAACAATTCGCCACGTCCCTGAGCACGAATCTTTAAACTGCGTGGCTGTATTTCCTTGCTAATGGAGAGCGCCTCCTTGGAGATGTCACCGATTTCAATAGATGATAATGGGCAGACTACCTCGCCAATGACATCATCACGCGAATAACGATCGAAGCTGAGTATAACAAAGTGCAAAGACATGTTCTGTAGATCGCTAATGTTCAAGCCGTAAAATGTGAAATCCTCATCGTATACTGGATTGCGTGTATTGCGTACAACGCGAGTCTTTACCTTATGTTGTTTGTCGGGCAAAAGTTGAAGTTTTACATACGGATCGGTGGCAGTTTGAGTGCGTCCATTCAAGCCAGTCGGTATGTCATTAGAACCGTTTGAACCGTTTTTGTTGCTGTTGCTGTTACTGCCACCATCACCACCAGTGCCGGTACCGGTACCAGAACTGCCACCACCACTCTTACAGGGTAAGCCGCGACAACGTATAATCGACACCATCAGGGCATTGCGTTCGGCCAAATAGCGTAGCTTAAAGTAAATCGTGCCCAATTTTCCATACTGATCGATAGTCAACTCCTTGGCTATGTCTTCCATTGCATTCAAATGATGGTGATGATAGTGATGATGGCCGTTATTGTTGCCATTACCTCCTGTGGTCTGACCAACGACGTTGGCGTGTGTCTCAATGGTAGGGGAATGCTTCTGTTCGCCGTTCATTAGCTGGCGATTGTGTCGGGTTGGTTGTATCTCATCTTCCTCCACATATTTCATGGTTTGCGGTGCAATCGGGGAAGTGGTCTGATCTTGCATTGGTTGCAAAATGCCCAGTTGCTTGGTGCCAGTAGGGGATGGTGATTTTTTTAGATAGTGTGGTGGTTGGCCACTTGGCGAGCGCACAGCAGTCGGGCGCCGTGTTGGCTGAAAGGGAAATGATGCGTCATGTTGATTCTGCTTACGGTTGCGTACACGTATTCGCTTAGCGCAAATATACACCACAGCTGAGAGCGCTGCAGCGGCAGCAAAACCCAAAATCGCTGGAATTACTGTGAAGAACAATGTAAATAATTTAATTTTATTTGGGATTCATTTATGGCATGTATGATTATCATTAGATATTTGTGTTTAAGTCGGGTTTGCTCTATCAAACACAAAATTAAGTAAGATGAATAATTATAACGATTATTTACAATAACCACTGAGTGTTAATCAATACTCCCACCAAGTACCAATACTATGGGCCAACAAGAAACAATATTACTCAATACAGTGGAATATTTCTTGTAAGTAATAGTCGGTCATAACTTTAACACGATTGCGGCCAAATTTCTCAACGATTAAAAAAGTATGATATATTATAATATTCCGAACATTGGGAATATTCCGAACATGCGTTGGAAAGCTACTGCCCTTGTGTGTCTTTTTCAATATACATATGTATATACGGTGCTTTCCAAAGTAAACAGTAAAAAAGTAACAAATTAAACTCTAGTGGTGTCATCTATATGTCTATCTGCTATCCTTTATCGACTTCCAGTAAAAATTTCATGACATTTCATCTATTGGAAGTGAAGTTTTTGCGTTTTAAGTTTCAGTATGTTTTTGTCATCGGTGCGAAAATGAGCTGCGAACAAAGAGCCAACATTAAATTTTGTTTTAAAATTGGTAAAACTTTTACCGAAACATTTCAATTGATGAAACAAGTTTATAGCGATGATTGCTTATCCCGTAGCAGAGTGCACTTTTCAAAGTGGTCGTGAAGACATAAATGAGAAATGAGCCAAAACCCAAAAAATCGCGCCTGGAGAAGTCAAAAGTGAAGACAATGCTGATTTGTTTTTATGATTCCACATTGTCCACAAAGAATTTGTTCCACCCGGCCAAAACGTTAATGCGTTATTCTACTTTAGAGTTTTGAAGCCTTTGGTGCGCCATATTCAACGTGTTCGGCCCGAATATCGCGAAGATGGAAGTTGGCGTTTGTTGCACCATAATGCGCCATCTCATCGATCGACGCTTGTGTCCGATTATTTGACCAAAATTACATTTTAACAATCAACCACTTCCGTATTTACCTGATATGGCACCGTGCGACTTCTACCTTTTCGGAAAATCGCATTTGCCTATGAAAGAAAAGCGTTATGCAGACGTGGAGGCCATTCAAAAGGCTTGCACCGGCATACTGGCGGCCATACCGGGCAACGAGCTAAAACACTCGTTCGACATGCTTTTGGACCGTGCAAAAATCTGTATTAAAGCAGAAGGAGACTATTTTGAATAAAATTAATTGATTTTGCCGATAAAACACTTGTTCTGTCTTTTTTTTTAAAGTCCTGTTTACTTTAGAGCGCACTTTGTAGGTTTTCGATTAACAACGATTTGCAGATGTGGCAGTGGTACGATACAACACCAAACATCTTGGTGGCAAGGAACATGAGTACCAAGTTTCATCAATGTATCTTAATTTTTACTGAAGTTAAACTCGTCCCGTCATCCTGATAATTTACTCATATATAAATCTATATCTATCTCGATTAGCTTTAGATGATACATGCAACCGTTAGGTGAACCAAACTATTATACTCTGTAGCAATATGTAGAAAGAGTATAAAAATTCTGTGTGTTTGGGATATAAGAAGGTAAGTTGACACAAAATTTCGTAAAAGAAAGATTAGAAAGGCCAATAGTTTCGGAGATAAGAACGTATTTGTAAGACTTTTTTAACTTAATTTAAGGGGTACCAAAACTTTAAAAAAAGTTTTTTACGAAACGGTGTTTCCAGAGTCGATGAGAAAAATTTTGATTTATTTAGCAGGTAATGGTGGAAGGAATAAGATTTTTGATTAATAATTTAAATTTTTTAAGCCACTCTATAGTGTAACTTATTTCACAAAAGATAAGAAGCTGCCATTTTGTCAAAAATTAAAATTTGTACTAGTTATTCTATCATTACCTGTATTCATCTATACTAATACACATTTTTTTGTTTAAATTTGAGATCATTTTAAGCAGAAAAATCTTTCTCACCGCCAGACACCATTTTTCGGAGCTCCTCCTGGAGGAGAAGCGACTACGAAATCAAGGAGATCCAAAGTTTTTCAAAATGAATCGCCGATTGAATTCTGTAAATGTGGACTTTTTTATTTAGTTTTCAAATACGTTGTAGTATCTTTATTTTCAGATTTTCCAGTGACGTTTAAGAAATCACTGAAAACGTATAATTTCTTTGGTCAATAACAAGCACCTGCATTCATTGCAATTAATCACTAACGAAGATCTTTAAGTTCCCTATATATATATTTCTGGGAAGATATCAAAGAAAAATTTTGAATATGTCTTCCAGGACTATTTGTGTGTCAGAATTCAATGAAAATTGTGCAAAATTTGGATAGAATGAAGAGATAATCGTCGAGACTTAGACCCACTTTTAGGCTATATGTCTTTTATTACAAAATTGGAATAGAAAAGTTAGAAGATCGGTATAATGAGTTTAAAAATTATATGAATATATTACATTAGCTTTATAAAAGCACTATATTTGGCTGAAAATATTTCAATATTAATTAGCATTAATGTTTACATAATATTCATTCTTGATAAGAAGATTAACAAGCAAAAACGTTAATTTCGGTTACACCGAAACCATAATACCCAAATACAAAAGCTTCCTTACAAGCACTTTATTCCGATCGTTCAGTTTGTATGACAGATATATGCTATAGTGATTCGATCTGAACAATTTCTTCGAAGATTGCATCATTGCTTCAGACAATAACCTATGCCAAATTTGTTAAGATACAAACCTTGACAAATAAAAAAATTTTGCATACAAGGGCTTAATTACTATCGCCCAATTCGTATGGCAGCTATCGTGTGCAAAATTTCAGATCGACATTTCAAAAACTGAGGGACTAGTTCGCGTATGCTGATCATTTATAAACATATGATCGTATAAATATATATTATAGGGTTGCCGACGTTTCCTTCTGGATGTTACAAACTTCGTGGCAAACTTAATATACTCTCTTGCTCGACTGTTGCACATCTCAAGTTCACGTAATACCTAGAGGTATGCAACTTTCTTTGCTTTTTAGCTACAATATATTGCACTTACTTGTCTCCATGGAGCTCACATCTGGGCTGTACTCGTCGCCCATCTTGGTTGCAACAAATCTGTTAATGCTTATTCGATTCTTAGTTGTAGTTGTTGTTGTGCTGAGTGTTCACCACAAGCGTTCTGACGTTGTTGAATAACGCAAATTGGAATTTTTACCGTAATCTATAAGAAATCCAAGCACACCTACATTTGCGCACAAAGTGTTTAGGCAATATTTGTCTTTTTTGGTAAATCACAAATAACTGTTTTATTATTTTTCTGAGCTTGATTGTGTTAAGGCGCTTTGCGTTTGAAATATTCGATGAACGGAATCGATTTTTCCAATATGGCTGCACGAATAAACAAGCAGCTGTAATTATTAGACGGTGAATCGAAGAGAATTGTCTTCGCGATTTCCGAAGTCGTCGTCGTCGATGTTGATATCGTATTTACCTACGGTGTGTTGTTGAGCTGCTATTCCCAGACGAGTTCTATGCGCTCTAACGTGTACTTTCGAAATATGTATATGCTGTGTACTTGGTGGTGGTACAGATGTTTTCTGTTGGTTCTGTTATTATCGGTGAGGGTGGGTTGTGGCGCGCACGCTTGCGGTTACGCGATGCCTGCAGGTAGCAAGGATTGTATGAATCACACTTTTTACTATAGGCTTCGTCGCTTATTCCTCGCCAACTCTTTCAATGACTTTGTGAGTAAGCCAAGTTGGTGGGTATTTTTTTGTTTTTTGTTTAACCAAAAAAAATATATCAAATTTTACGCTCAAACTTTGTTATTATTTCAAAAACTGTTTTTTTTTTTGTATTTTATAATATTACTTATGCTGTACCCTCCAATTGAGTTGATGTTTAATTTTTCACTGTCTAATTATTTTTGCGTAGTAAGCGGTAGGTGTTCGACTTGCGCATTTAATTAATGTTTAAAATTTTAAATTTGTGTATTTCCGCACTTTCACACGTGTAGTTCTCACTTCAAAACCAGCAGTTTGCACTTTTCCTAAATACCTTGTATACTTTTAGGCTTATCGAAAAAAATGCGTTTAGCAGATTTTTCAACAGTGCAAATGTGTTGGCACAGCGCGCGTTAGCGTCAATATTCCGATTGTAGTCGTCTTCGTCTGCTGCGAGTTTACGAGTATTCACTGGTATTACTGGACGTTGACTTCGTCTTGATGCGTAGCATTCAGCGAGTTTGAGTCCATAAAATCATTAAACTGGCACATGCGCGGTGTAGCGCTTACTAGTTAGCTGGCGAAGAAAGCTAAGTTCATACGCATTTAGCATTTTACAGCAACGAACAAAACAAATAGTTTCGTGTGGCAAAATTTTGTTTACCTAATAATCGTTGGATTACGTTTTGGCAGCGAGTGGCGAATATTTTGTGTAGTGGGGACCGTAAATCTATACACAACCAAATAAGAGTTTTAAGAAAGTTCACATCACAGCATAAAACACTTAGTTTGACGTAAAATAACTCAATTAATCGTTATCTCTATTTATTCGTCACACATAAATCTAAAATTAAAATACTAATGGATATCTTCACATGAATATATATATATGAATATAGTATATTAAAATTGCTTTCCTATTTCAAGTACGAGGTGTGTTCAAAAAATAACAGGAGCTTTAAAATTTCGCAGGTTTGGAGGGTCAATCGGTCAAAATTTTTTATTAATTGACATACATGCCCCTGAAGTACGATAAAATTTTCAGCTCTACTTATTGCTTACTTTGTCTCTTGCAGTCGCTAAGGTTAGACGCGTTTTTATGGGCCAAAAACAATACTGTTACGACGCCCCAGCCACCATATTCTCCAGACATGGCTTCGTGTGACTTTTTCCTAGTTCCACAAATAAAAACAACTGTAAAAGGCCGTCGTTTTACAAGATAGATGAAAAATCGCTGAAAGTGCTAAAGGCTATCCCAAAAATCGAGTTTGAGCAATGTTTTGACGATTAGAAGAAGTGCATAATATCGGTTGGAGACTATTTTGAAGCTGACAACATGAATGAATAAATGTTTCTTTTTAAATAACAAAATTCCCGTTATTTTTTGAATGCACCATTTTTGGTGAAGTGGATTTTTAAATAAAATTTTTGAACACACCATTTTTGGTGAAGTGGATTTTCAAATAAAAAAAGGGAAAGATTTTAGCAAAGCATAGAAAAGTCAGTCTAGCATAGAGTAGATAAAAATTGATTATTCGGTTATGAAAGTTATCTATTTTAATCTTTATTTGGAAGAAATTACTTTTAGTACAAAATATACAAAATTACAAACTAGATAACTTTTTGTTTACTTTGCTTATTTAGTTCATATTTAACTTTATCCGTTGGCAAACAAGACTTATTAATTTTTGTCCGGTACTTTGTATTAATGAATTGAATTTTAGTTCGTCTGGTTATCGTTGCATGCTTTGTGATGCCAACACATATTTTGACAATGGACATTAGGCAAAAATGTTTGCCCAGTCGAATGGGCGCCAATCGAAAATGCACTCTCATTCCTAACTAATGCAAGGTGAACGTTATTTAGCATAAAAAGGTCACCTTCGATTCACTCTGAGCAATAAGTACTTTGCGAACGAGCAAGTACTGGCGGTTGTTCAGCAAGCACTAACAGAGCTGTTAGCAACTGTAATTCTACTACCTAGAATCCATAGGGATCACAAAATTGCTCAATGCAATCGATAGTTCATTTAAAGACTCTAACTTTGAAGGACAGTAAAATGAATTAATGCCCTAAGGAATATTTACATTTCTGAATAGGACTGTACTTCGCAGAAGTAGTTGTACTGCTACTTTCATGACACAGGTCAACAAACAAATTTTTTTGCTTTGTACATCGGCTTTACTAAATATATTCTGTTTATAGTTATAAGCAAATATATATGGAAAATTACGATTACAAATCGAAAATATTTGCTTTTTTAAGCAATTATAGCGATTTGATCGGCTATATAGCGAGATAGAGTCACTTCGCATCGGTCGTTGTGTACGACAGTATGTATACGCAAATTACAGAGAAATAATGTGTTTCATAATTTTGTTTCCTGTAACAATCAGTACAAAATGCCTTCGAGAAGTTGTAAACGAGACGCTGACTCGTTTTGCTAGATTTGCGGCGAATTTAATAAAATGAGAAAAAAAATTATGATTTAAGTAAAAAATGTAAATTAAAAATTGGAACAAAAAATGCGTGAAGAGCTTTTTTCCAAAGCTTTCTGAATCGAAAATAAAGGCTGGAATATTTTTAGACACTCAAATAAAAAAATGATGGATTGTGATATTTTCCTGGAGGTACTTAGCAATGAGAAAAAAAAAAACCTGGAACAGTTTTAAGGCAGTAATGCATGGTTTCCTTGGAAACCATAGAGCTGACAATTATAACGAACTGATCACTGACATGATTACGAATTTCTCCATCATCGGATGAAGAATTTCTCTAAAGATGCACATGTTACACTCTTATTTATATAAATTTAAACATAATATGGGAGCTTAGTCGGCAGAACAAGGAGAACACTTCCATCAAGATATAATGAAATTTGAAAGACGTTACCAAGACCAGTATACAGTATTGGAGATTATACTTGGGGTTTAATAAAAGAAGCTTCTATGGAACATGACAGGAAAAGTAAAACTATTCATTTTTAAACATTAAGAGTCTATTTTGAAATGTCTATTGTAAGAATGAATCCTAAATAGATGATTGGTATCTCTTAATAAATTATTTATATGTTGAATTTTTGTGTATTTTTATTGAATTGAATTTTCCTATTTTTTATACATTGAGGTATGAAAGCAACCGGTGACCGGTGTAATAGCCACCTCGCCAGGAAAGAAAACATAGTGGTATTCAAGCCGACAATTAATTATATAATATTTCGCTTGCTTCTTTGTTGAGCTTTCATATACCAAAGATGATACTTAGCATCATTAAAATTTATCATTTATCCTTTATCAATGTTTCTTAAGATAAGAAAGTTATAAATAAAATAAACATGGGCTGAAAATGGCCCAGCCTCACACAAAGGTGGCGGTAGTTTTATTGAGTTCACCTCATTTTCAGTTAGTACTAACCTTTAAAAGACAGCTGTTAAATTTCATGACATTCAATTCATTAGTTTGCGAGTTATCGTGCTAAGAGTGGCGCTACTTTTTTATTTTAAAAACAATGGGCTATGAAAAATTCCGTGTTTTAATTTTACACTGCTTCTTGATGGGAAAAAATACCGTTTAAGCGAAGCAATGGTTTCAAAAGTGTCATAGGAATTCAGCACCATCAGAAACCACAATCAAATCGTTGGCTCGCTGACTTCAAGCGTGGTCGTAGAGACACCAATGATGCAAATCACAGTGGGCGTCCAAATAAGGCTGTAGCAACAGAAAGCATAAAAAAATCCACAAAATCGTTCTGACTGATCGGAAAGTGAAGTTGCACAATATAGCTGACATCGTAAGGATTTCAAAAGAACGTGTTGGATTTATATTGCCTGAGCATTTGTCCATGAGAAAGCTCTGTTCAAAATGTGTGCCGCGATTGCTGACTCTTGACCAAAAAGAGCAACGTGTTGATGATTCTGACCAGTGTTTGGCCATTAGTTGTTCGCAAACCTCATAAAAATGTTCGCCGATAATACATTTCGCTCGAATGATCTATTAAAGTGGTATTTAAATGTTAGAGTGGGGCGAATGATTGTGCTGCTCTTGAAGGAGATTATGTCGAGAAAATATTTCTAAATAACGGTTTTTAATTAAAGATAATCAACCAGAAAAACGGTAATCATTCGATATTAGGGTATTGATCAATTTAACAAATTTTTCCACCAAGGCACATTACGTTTTACATAATAGTCACTTGTAAATGTTTAGATATTTTCGAATGTCTGAACCGTTTTTCTCTACCTTGGCAGTGAAATGTGTGATTTACATAATTTTCTTGAAATATCGTATATACCGATGTCGAAGACCCATTCAACAAAAAGTGAGTTTCATCGTTAAACAAAATTTTCTTGTGAAAACCGGAATCGGTAATCGATAATAAATTTACCGATTTGCAAACGTTGTTCCTGAGTAAGTGTGTTCATTATCAACCAAACAGAGTATAAACAGTAATAGTTTTACCCAAAGCAAAGGAGTTTCCAACTACTTGAGCGATTGCTGTGAGAGATACAATATCCAAAATAAAATAATTTTTTTTTGTATTCGATCATTACACAGTGCTGCTTTGTCGTTCCTTTTAGTCATTATCTCTTTTGGAATCAGCATCTACAGAATATAATTCATATCTATTAATCTCCTGATGTACGAATCAAACCCATGACTACTAATATGTGTAAGGAGTTTTTTGTCTACAACAAAAATATTTATAATCACCTTTAAAATAGCTTTTTCAATTTAAGCACGCCAATGTTAAATGAAAAATCCCAAACACTACTTTTTGACCTTGGAGCTGCTTTGAGTCCTTCGGTTTAAATAATTAACAGTAAAGCTTAAAAACAAACTCTCCCACACTTAAAGGGGGACCGTTGGGTTATGTAAGAATTTAACACCTTATAATGGTTCCGTCGAGGCAAGTTATACGGGAATGAAATACATAAGTAACCGAAGCTTTAAGCACAAAATGGTCAAAAGATTTCCTTTGTTGCCTTTTCGTACTGGAAGCGAAAGATCTTTATGATTTTGGACCCGCTTGAAATAGGGGTGCTTTGAAGAACTTAAGCAAACCGTTAAGGGGCTTTAAGAGTTAATAATAAAGCCGCTAATTATAGAAATATATATTTTCGAAGTTGTTCAATACAAATTTATTGTTCGACTCATGCCCAGTGTTGCAAGGTGGCCACAAGAAAATAGTAGCAACAGCAATTAGTCGTTTGCTGCAAGACTGGCCACAGCTGAGCAAACCACAACAGTAGCAACGTCAATTCCCGCTGCGTCGTCGCTCTTAGCAACTTCGGCAATGCAATCACGAACGCGTGTTTATAAAATAGCGTGGCAGACTGCAGAAACGGTTGTTTGATGCCGAACGCGAACGCAGAGGTTTGAACAGCTGACCACGGAGCAGCGGCAAGCGAACGGTTTACGGTGTTTTATTGTGCTTTTCACAGAGCAATTCGAACAGAAAATTATTGAAACAAAGTTAAAGTGATTGTATAAAAGAAGACTTATGCAAGCAATATAGTGCGCGGAGTTCTTAAATTAAACTGCCATTTCGGGAATAAGAAAACAGTGTAGTGTTTACGTGTCAATAATTCGTGCGCTAAGATAAAAGCAAAAACTGAAAGCAGTTACAACTAACTAACGATATTCGGTGGCAAGCAATATTCGCCAACACACAAACATAATCTACCATAGGCTGTTAATATTTGCAAGTTACTTGCAAGGGAGACCGTGAAACGGTAAATCGAAAATATCGTAAGGTTAAAACAGTGTATACAAGAACTGTGCGCACATACTCACCTACATACTTGTATTATAAGCAGCGCTTTACATAAGCACAGCTAATGGACTCAAAAGACTAAAGCAACGAACTCGGTTGGCTGTGTGGCTTGTAGTACGTACATAAACGCCAGTTTGAAATCTTTATCGACAGCTCAACGCACAAACGCCAAAAAGTGGGTGATGCCTTGAAAGAAGCGCTTTTGGCGGAAAAAGATATACAAAAATATATGGAAACAACAACAATATTTAGCAGCGATTTCCTTTTCCTTTGTAAGTAGCAAAAACAAAAATTACGTAAAATTACTGTTACAAAGCGAAGAAGCATTGCATATGCATATGCATTTAACCAAACTAAATGTTATTGTGAAGCCAAAAGTGTGTATCGATTGAAGGTTAAGCCAAAGTAAAAAGAATTGTTTGCAGCCGTTAGACTGTGAGCCACAGCGTTACACGAAAGATGTAAAATATATATATGTTCTGATTACAGATTTAATATTTGCAACTTGCAGTAAAAATTAGTTTAAAAAAAGAGCCAAAGTCAAGAAGTCAAAATTTAGCTAGAGGTTAGATGTTGCAAACTGGCGAACTTTTTTCAGTTTTGTATGCATTTTGCTCTTCCGCATTCACACTACTTTGTCGATTCTTAAATATGTTGCGAAATTCACTGCATTAAGCAATCAACTAATCTTTCAATGAAGAAACCGAGGGCAAATAATGTTTTATACAACTTAGTCAATGGTTTACTTTATTTAAGTAAACTTTTGGGATTTTTGGGAGTTTCAAACCTTACTCCACTCCTAACTGTGAGCAGCTGTTGGCTCTGAAAAATTGAAAATAAGCAAGAAAACCTTTAACTTCGGTTGCACCAAAGCTAAAAGCCCTTCACATATAAAAATGTTTCCAAACAAGAACTTGATTATGATCGGTTAGTTTGTATGGAAGGTATATGCTATAGTGGTTCGATCTGAAAATTTTGATTTGATTCCGATCGTTCAGTTTGTATGGCTGTTACATGCCATAGTGGTCCGATATTAGCGGTTCCGACAAAAGAGGAATTTCTTAGAGAGAAAAGGATGTGTGCAAAATATCGATCGTTTTCTTTAAAACTGAGCGACTAGTTCGCATATATATAGACAGATACTTTATATATGTATATTCTATGACGTCTCCAACGGGGCATTACAACCTTTGTGACAAACTTAGTATACCCTGTTTAGGTTATAGAAATGATAACAATAACATTTTTGGGGCTTTCTCTGGAAGAAAAATATAAAGTCGTACTTTTAAGATACAACGATTCTTTATATATTGTAGAATTTTACTTGTTTGAATCCTCAAGAACTACCACAATAAATATACAAAGTTGAAGTTCGAGAAAACCGCTAAAAACTTGTAATATACACAGAAGACATGTATATGTATATGGGTTCTAGTTTAATTTAGCGCCATCTGTTTTCTCCTCCTGTTAGTTTGACATCCTTTAGCATTTTGGTGTATAAACTGTATTCATGTTGTTGTAAATTTAAAAAAATTTAAGAATAATATGAGTCAAGATAAAGCTTAGCTATCACTCAATACTTTTTCTTCTGATTTTAAAATTTTTTTGTGAAAAACCGATATTCTTTTATAGAACAATTAAAAGAAAAAGAAAATTATATATTATAACAATTTTAATATTTAAAAAGGACTGTAAAACTACAAACTTTGTAAAAATGAGAAACCAGTTTTCTACATGCAGTCCAGACTTGGTTCCAATATTTATCCAGTAGATTCCGTACCAGTGAAATCGAAACCATTTAATGATAATTTTATGATATAAGACTCTAAGCTTCCATAACTTTTCATATCAGTCTTTTATCTCCTTACTACACAATTCAATTATAAATATAATTAATAACTAAGCGAAATAATATTTGATTTTTGCATATCTATAAATGTTTATATAAAAATGTTGAAATTTAAGACACTCAGTACACTATCGCATCTTAGCTATGTTTGTTTGTAGCAATTAGTTGCAAGTATGTGTCAATGTTTGTGCAAGTCGTGCATTCAATGAACTAGAGCTTAGGTGAGTCGAGGAGTTAGGCACTAAACTGAGACTAAAAATTATACAACTGGCAAAGCACTTAAATGTGCATACATACGAGTCTATATATAGTTAAGTATTTGCACACAATTAATGACACAAAAGCACGCGTATTCTTATATAAGAGTCACTTATTTTGCACTAGATGATTGAGCTTAACGGACAATGAAGTTGCACATGGGAGCGCTTAATAATTAAAAAAAATATAAATGTTCGTATATTTAAAGATAATATAAAACTTAACAACGATTTCAAATCAAAATCAGGATGAATTGAGTATTAGTGATGAGCTTGTGCACTCGAGGCGCAAAGCATGGAAAATCATGAATTATTATGAAATAAAGATAATAATGTGGAGCAAAGCGTAAAATGTAGCGGATTGTTCATTCAATCAAAAGCTGCTCGAATAGGATTATTGCCATGAAAGCTAACACAGCTTGAATATGAAATGTGTCAAATAAATTATTAGGGCGGGGCTAGTTATTTGTTACATAATGTTGCTATGAACGGTGATAGTCTTCTTACAAGCTACATTTATTATATGAGTAAAATATTATACTCCTATATAAGCAATAAAAGGAGTGCTATAATAATGATGAAAGTTTGCAAAATTCTATTGACAAACAAAGAAAGTAAAAATTACAATAAAAGTATTTATAAATTTTAAGCCAATGATACTCCTTGTGGTCTGTAATGAGAAACTGTACAAAACAAAATTTTTTAAAAATATTTTATGATATTTGTTAAGAAAATTAACAATTTGTATCAAAAAACATACAAATTGTACCACCCTAATAATTAAATATACTCCGCATGTATAAATGAAAGACGAATATACAAGATACATATTTACACTTTTATAATCGACAAATTCGAAATATGCGTTCAGGCAAAACTCTGCAAACGCCAGCCGTTTTATAATTGCGCGATACCATAACAATAGTTCAATAATAAAAGACTCTTTCAGTGCAACCTCAATTTCGCTGAATAAAAGTCAATGGTTTAAACGCCAGCGAGAGTTGATTTTAAACGGAGATTGCCTATAGCGATATTAGCTTCACGCACACAATAAAATGCCCATCTACAATGAGTCTAAGAAAAAAAAAATAATAACAAAAGTCGAATTGCAATCGTAACACCATTACGAATATAAACGCTTCAAATGCCGCCAGCTCATTGCGATGAGTTGACGAAATAATTGCTGTTGAATGGATCGTTCCAAAAACGCCCGCCTTGATGATACCCAATTTCTTTAGAATTACCCAATTTTACTCATGCACTTTTATTTGTGAATTTCTCTTGCAGATTTTGGTTTAGTACAATTTTTCATTCAACTTTCTTAAATAACAAAGACAACCATAAATGTTGATCGTTAATTTAAAAAATCCTTATATAGTTTAATTATGTTCAAATACAATATTTATGAAAATTTAGTAAATTAACTAATTGCTATACAATTACCAAGTTTAATTTCTATACTAGCCACTTAAATTTAACTAAAAGAAATTAATAGTTATAAGTTAAGTTAGAACCAAAAGCTTGTAATTTTCAAGCCGCCACGGCATTGATTGATACCTGTCTACCAATAAAATATTTTAATATTAAGAAGTTTATTCAAAATAATAAAAAGTTACAAGAGTAAAAAATACGTAGACTTTTTAGGCATTTCAGGTTCGCCTGTGTTAACTGGTCATTGTCGATACGGTGTTTACCTTAAAAGGTTCAAAATCTTATCCAATGCAAGTTGTAGAAGTTTTTTGGAAGCAGACGAAGTACAATACTACCATTACATCCTTTTAATGTCCTGCCTTTGCGTGGTTAAGTATCTCACATCTTCTGATATATGTTTTTGAATTATTAGGAATAAAATTATAATGCCTAAGCAGATTTGTGATGAGTTTAAGGCGTAGTTTCGTTACATGACATCCAACATTGAAGTTTTCTGGTTTCACCAACAAATGCCCCTAACCGTTCAATTGTTATGTCAAGGGGTTATTTTCTTGCAGTAAACAAGTTTTGGTCAAATTTCGTATTTAATCTTTTTCAAAGAGGGCAGAACTCTAAGTAGTTTAGAAGGTTGCGTCACATTATTTAAAGGTTATTTTACAACATTTTCCCTACATCCATAAATTTTCGCATATATTAGTTTTTCCATCCAAACTGTGATAATCATTCACTAAACAACCTCAGCTACATCAAACAACTTGACTTACTTTTATTAAAAGCAATAATCGAACTCAATAATATTATCATTGACTACAATAAATGTCAATATTTATAGCAATTTGCATTTTAAATCGCCGAAATATTAATATGGGCAAAGCCATGAAATATCGCCGAGCAAAAATTGTTTAAGTAAAACCACACTTATGCTTTCTCTCTACGAAAATATATACAAGTATGTATGTATTCAAATTGATGTAAATAAATATGAGTAAGCAAAAATTTCAAAAGGGCCAAATGAGTTCAAGTCTATACAATGGTCTGCTTTGATTTCTAAAAGAACGAATGTCTCTTTTGCCTTTAAGACATCATTAGCTTTGCTTCTTTATTTGCATTTCGTATTCTGCATTGTGACAATTTTTAATTAACGAACCGACATTATTTATGCTCTTTCTTCTTTGATATGTTATATGCTTTCTTATAACAAGTCTTTTTGATGTCAAGTAAGCATGTCTAACAATTAAGTTAAATTTAAGAAAGTTTACAAGCGATTGTATTAGTACTAATGTGCTTTGGCGTTAATTTTAATATTGCTAACCTTAGTTTTTTGTTCACTTTATTCAATTTTTTAAATAATAAATAAGTGAAATCATAAAACACCGGAACTGGTTACTTGCGGTGAAAACATTATTACAAGAAGCATAAACATGTTTTATATATATTATAAAGAAATAAATAAGTAAATTCGCTTAAAAAATGAACGTACATATTCAAATTTGGTACCTCGATGCTTAATTAATTGAAATCATACTTAATAAATGTGACAAAATTTCATCCGTGCTTCTTACTTTAATTGTAGAAATAAATATGTGTACAATAAGCCTGAAATTTTGTAAGCTAATGTGAAAAGAATGCTATATCATCTATTTTTTAACCGATCTAGCTGAATGCCGGCACAAACAGCTGCTTGTTATAACCTGAACAGGGTACATTAAGGGAATGGAAGCTTTTTCATGTCACA